GTTAAACTGTTAGCAAGAAAATTATACTTTTTAAAACTAAATCTTGAATAACTCAAAAACGATTTATTTTAGGGATAGGAACATGTATAGTCAACGAATTGAAAAACCTTTTCTTCAGTGAAATAGAAGAAGTGGGTTTCCATTTGAAAAAAAAATATTTATGATAATTTTTTAATCGCTCAATTTCATGACAACTAACTAGCCTAACCGCCATTATTATATGACATTCCAACAATTTAATTTTTGAAGTAGATAGACACATATCTTCTCTTTGTAGCACAGTGGCTGTGGTAATCACTAAATTTAACTTCTAGGATAAGTACATTTTTTTGATAGGCAGTTTTTTTCGTCCAAATTTTTTTTTTTCTCAAAAACGATTAATGTTCTCAAAAACATTAATATTCATAGAATTTTACAGAGAATTTAAGTAGGTATCACCCATATAAAATAAGAAAGTTGCCGTCAACTTCCGGTATTTACGGAAGTGCCGCCATATTGAAAATATTTTAAATCGATTGATCTCATTATAAAACAAAAATGCAAAAAATCTCCGATCAAGATATTGTAGTTCTCTAGAAACTTCTAATGTACGCTCAATCTGGGGCACCCTGTATATTCTCCAAAGTACATCAACTATTGTAGTATACACAGTCAATGATGGTATTCAAAAAAGTAATAAAATATTAAAAGTACGTAAAACGTAGTATAATTTATCTATAGTGATGGCTATGAAGAATATAAATATAATTTCAATTTCAGGTGTGCCATAGTCCAATATGGGGACAAATCATAAATCGATACAAAAGGAATATTTTTCTTTTCGTGTTATGGTATTTTATTTTAGAAGTATATCTGTCCATAATATATTCATTCTTTTGTTAAACAAAATACGATTAATACTATATTTTAATCTACGTATACATAGAGTAACAGCGGTAACAGTCTGAAAAGTAAAAATCCTGAATTTCTCTTAGAAAAACAATACTGTCAGAAAATACATTTGCTTTCCCGATATGTTTTGAGACTATTATGACAACATTCTTTCTATGAAAAAGTTAGAATTACTAGTATTCAAATATGTAGCATGTATTAACACTAATCTCAAAAATTAAATATTAATGTTTACGAAATTAATTTTAAATGAATATAGTTTTATTAAAAAAATAAAATGCTTTAGCAATTCAAATTTAGCAATTATAAATCTATTTAAATTTTTTTCATATTTATAAAAATTAAGTACAATTTTTATATATCCAAATATGTAACTTACTTTTAAATACCCTTATCTCAAAAACTAAAAATTAATGTTTACAAAATAGGATTAATGTATTATTTATAATATATTTTTTTTTGTAATGTAACTTATAAAGTTATTTATATACAAGAAAATAACTCTAAAATATCATTAGAAAATGGCGTACGTGCCAAAACGCTTTTATTTCGCCACAAGACAACAGCTAAAAGGTTTGAGAAGAAATTGTTAGTTCAATTAAGGAATTGAGGCCTTAGTAATATCTATGCGTTAACTTAAATCTCCTTTCAAGACATTAAGCAACAACAGAAATACATAATATGATCACTTATATATCTTTATATCTATATTTTTGCACATGTGTTTTTCTTTAATTTATATATTTTATTGATCCAGATTATTTTGGATTCCTACAGAAATTTAATATAATAGAAATAACAACAGGATGTATTAATATGAAACTGGTAGACAATGATGAACTATAAACTATAATACCGTTATTAGACTTTATTATGATCGTTAATTTTAGTTATGAAATTTCTTATAGGAGGTTTCCACTTCAATGGTACATACAAGTGAAAACGCTGTAGCGTGTCGTGGATAAAAGGGCGGAGGGGGCGAAGACCTTAAGGGGCGCAATGATCAATAAAGGATCAAATAAATTACAAACTTTTTTTTTAAATAATAAATAATAATAACTACATGAAAACTTTTATTTTTTTTAGCCGACCATACCAATAGGTATGGTAGGCTATTAAGATCGGCAAAAAAAAGTTTTTTTAATTTCACTCAAAATGAGTTATTTGGGTCATAAATGACCTAAATACAAAATATTTTCATGGTGTCTGTCTGTCTGTCTGTCCGTCTGTCCGTCTGTAACACGATAACTCAAAAACCGCTGAACCGATTTTAACCAAATTTGGCACAAAAATACTGTTGCACCCGAGAATCTGGCCATTAGTTTTTGGTTGTTGTGGGGGGTTGGTAAGGGGTTAAAAATTTAAAAAAATCGTAACTCCAAAATTACAGTAGCTAGCAAAACGCGGTTTTCAAATTAAGATTAGGAATAATATTTGCAGCAAAATTTGTAATAACCTCAAAATCAGTCAAAGTCGCAGTTTTCGAGATATTAACATATTTTAGTATGGGCGGCTATACGTGCCTCCCGGCGCCAATTTTTTAATATAAATTTGTTTATTAAAAAAGTTAGTATACTAAACAGTTATTTCAATGATACAAGCGTCTTGTTTTAACCGATTTAAAAGAATCAATTATTTCATCTATATTTAGATCCTGGGCTGTGTCTGCTTGAATACTGAGAAGTGATAAATAATTGGTTCTATCTTTTGTGCTGGTTCACCTCTGGTAATTATTAATTCTTCCTAATCTACTGAAATAGTTCTGCACCAACACTGTTGGTGGCTATAGTGTAAAAAATCTTCAGTAATGCACATAAAGATGGATATGAAGACTCTAGGTCATTGGAAATTAAAATAAATATATAAATATATAATATAAAAATATTTATATATCAATATTCGTCAGGTGCAAGTTTGTTGTCATCAGCATTAATTTCTTCTAATAAACTGCAAAAATGTTTATATTCTTCAACTAAAGAAGGTTTAACATCTGCTTGGTACAATATCTGTAAATCCATAAGACATTTTGAATTGTCATCATTGACGTCCATATCCAATAAACAATTAAATTTTTGGCATATATTAAGGATGTCTTCAAACCGATTCTCTAGAGTACCAGTTAAAATGTCTAAAGTACCATAAAACACTGATATCTTGAAATTATCTTCAGACTTTTGATGTAGGTAGTCATTTTGGATTTCATGATGAATTATTTTTATTCTTCTTTGTCTTTTTGTGGAAAATGATGTTGACGTATTGTATTTATTTGCCAAAATAGTAGCCTGTTTTTTAAAATTTTTAAAATATTTTTCACTTCTTAATGATTTGAGATCTTTAGTTACCGCAGTAATCATATGAGCAGCTGTACATAAGTTGATATTAACCTTTGGCAAGTGATTGAACAATATATTAATTTTATTCAGCACTTCATTATTATCGATTATATTTCGGTCAGTGATTTCCCGAATTTAATTCCATCGCGACTGCTTTCGTCTTCTTCTTTGGCGGCGCTTGCGCAACGTTATGTCTAGCCATTGTATTTTTATTTATAGACAATGGTCTAGCGGTAGCGTAGTTTCAAACCCATATGAAAACTTTCGTACGTATACGCCTTCATTAGAGATTTAAATTATTAAATATAAGTAAACATTAAAAAACAAAAATAAGATGTGAGAAATATATACGTCATTTTGTTATCTTGAAGAGCTAAGGGCACGGTAGGGCACCGTTTGTTTTTGTGTTAAATTTAGTTTTTCTATTTTTTTTTCAAAGGGCGCCAGAAGCGCCAAGCGCCTAGGGGCAGAGGGGGCGTTCGCCCCCCCCCCTGGCCCCCTATACTACACGCCACTGTGAAAACGTTATGTGTAAAGAAAATGTCACTTCAAGAAGATATTTTATTTCAAAATTTAAGTTTCCAGCCAAGTTGCTAATATTTCTAAATGTTAATAATGGTTCTTTACGAAACTAATAATGATCATAATTAGAAATTTCGTGTTGAATGTATTGTGATATAATTGAAATGAGTTGTATAGATATCATTATTGTACCTCTACAAATTTTTAATATTTTAAATTTAAATTTTTAAGTTTTAGCGTATCGCCATTAATTAATAGTTATTTTTTATACAAGACTATAAAATGGTATTTTACCATCGACCGAAAAGATTAATTCACGAGCGATGAAATCGCAAGTGAATTAATTTCGGGAGACTGTAATGCAATTTTATCGTCGTGCCTAAAACAATATTTTTTCCATAGCGAGTTACGTTTAAAAAAATATTCAGAAATTATTATTCCAATGAATTTATTACGAGTAGAAAAAATATTGTGCTGGGTTGGCGTTGGTTTCTATGTAATTTGACAAATAAATAAAGCTGTCTCTTTAGTTGTCAGTTTTGAGTCAATATTTTTTAATTCTCTTTCGTGTCGATTGCTGATTGAATTGGAGCCAGAAATGGCTCAAAACGAAATAAGTTAATTACCAACAGATATTCGGGCTGAGGCGACAAACGCCATATCCAAACTACTTCCATTTAAATCCCAAATAACTTATGAAAAGGAATACAAAAATTTTCAAAAATGGAAGCAATTAAAAAACGTGTGAGAAGAATTAAAGTTTTTAACCTATCCTCGCTGTTAAAGTATCATTTAATCTACCATTGCGGTTAAAGTACCGTATGATCGAATAAAAACGGCGTCAGCGATGGCTATGAAATGAAGATCGTTGTCATTTTATATGTAAATTTATATGGGAAATGTCATCGATTGTCATTTCCCAGCCAACTGAACGCCGTTTTGTTTCGATCATACGGTACTATTTCATCTGCTATTTTTGATAGATATAAGGCAATTTTAACAGTTGCTATGGAAAAAAAACATTGAAAATACTTAGTAAATAAGAGAGATTTTTCGAAATTTCACCAAAAAGCTCATTCAATCAAAATTTGAAGGCGCTTTGGAAAAAATGTAAATAAATAAAAATATTTGGTAAAAAAATGAAGCAAATCCGGACCTGAAATTCAGCGTATTGGTTTTGGATGTACCCAAAGATCTCTTCAGCCAATTTTTTATACGCTCTTAATAGATTTATGAAAGATATAAAGCTTTCAGTCCGCGAACAAAAACACTATATATACCGGCCAGAATTTGTCTGGCCTTATCATTTTATTTTAAAAAGTTGAAACAGTTGAATATGAAGGTGTTTTTGATTATTAGTTGCTTTGCTGTAGGTGTGCTACAAATTAAGGTAAATAAATAATAATTTCTAAGTAGGTCTCATTCCTAAACAATACATATGATATTCTGTTATTATTTTGAGTTATTAAACTTTATATTTAAAAAATATTTATTAATTTTCTATCTAAGAAACTAAGCTTTGGTAAATATTTCATTTTTAAGCTGATTGATTTGATTTGAAAAAAAAATAGCTACAATTACTAATAAGTTTTTTAATGAAAATTATATACATACATATAATATTCTAATAAGGTTTTTCTAAAAATGTAAGAGGTATTTTGTGTTTTTGTAATTATACTGAGATAAAATTTATTTTACTTTATTCCATTATATCAATATTTTATCGCAGATATGATTTGTATAAGTAATACGTTCTAAGTTATCAGTTGTAGGAGTCATAACCCTTAGTGCTTATTATTATGAGAGATTTACTATTGGAATACATATCTCTATTTTTTCATTTAATTGAACCCTTCGGAACAAAAAAATAAAGTATGAATATTTTAATTTGTTAATTTAATTTATTATTATTAGTATTAGTAGTAGTCTCTAAATAATACACAACCAACATTTTTAATTACATACAATATGTCCCCGGATTGTCTTTACAAAAGGAAAAACTTTTTTATTTTTGACATTTTCAGAAAAATGCATTCTTCATAAAAAATTTTGCTTGTTCTAAAATGGTTAATTCCGTTTATACTTTTCAAATCTCCATAGCGTTTTAGAGAAAATTATTAAAAGAGTGAAAATGTGGTTGATTTTTTTCTAGTCATTTTTAAGTCATAAAAATTAAAACGCGTTTCTATGGTAATATTATTTCGATTTAATTATTTGATAGATGGCTATTATCTTTGAATAAGAAGACTAAGGAAGGAGCATAATGCTATCCATGTATTCATGCATGGTGGGCGGAAAAGCGCCATAAAAGCACTCTAGGGTGGGGATCCTTGACAGTTCTGTTTGACGATTCATTTGACACATTTGAATTTGATTCGAAATTTTGTGGATTTGTCAGTCTTTACGGAGCTTATTTTATGTTATTTATTATTTATTCTACTACTGATAGTTGTATAAAGGTAGTAAATATAGATGAAAATTGTGGCAGAACTTAAATTAACAGTGACACTATCGCGATTTATTGAAAAAGATTCTAAAATAGTTGGTTGTGTAGCGTGCGGTAGATCTCGGCAAAAATTGAGTGAAATAATGGAACAACTTTTCGCTAGTAAGTGACTATATAATATACATACGTGTAGTAAACCGATCATTTATGAAATTCACTTAAATTAACTAAATTATATATTTTTCTTGCATTTTAGCTTTTATTTATTACTTGTCAAAGATTAGATGTCAAAGAATTTAGATACGTTAATTTGACTTACCTGCTTCAGTAGCGTATCGGATGTTTGTGTTAATAAATACTTATTATAACTTATCTATTTTTATTAGAATTATATATTTTTATAACAATTTTAATAACTACCAACATTTATTCACAACGTAACATAAAACAACAAATTATTGAGTCTACCCCACGTCTACCCTACATCATAGTTTTACATTTTTTAAATAAAATTAGAACGACACTGATAAACCGGAATTTAAGTCGGCCATATTTGAGGCCCATCGCGGTGTACCTAAGATTTTTGATATGCTCCTTAATTAGTCTTCTTATTCAAAGGCTATTATTAATTTTGATTAACGTCATATTTTTGTTGTTAAAGTATCATTACCATTAACCACTTACCATTAACTATTATCACCCTTTCCATAGCATTGAACTGAATAAATGTTGTGCTTCTTAAGCATTTTAAAACAGCAAAAAATGTGACGGTAATTAATTAAATTCTATTAATAACAATGTATCAAAGAATGAAATCGAACTATATTACCATAGAAACGTTTTTGGGACTTTGAAAAAATTGAACTACACTCAGATGCAAAAAAAACGCATCAAAGAAATTTTTGGTCAAATTTAAAGTGTTATATTTTTGTTATTTTTAGTCCAATTTGCATGAATTTTTTAGCAAACTATATATAATTACATCAACTTTAATTCGTAAACTCAGTTTTTTGTAAACTTTAGTACTTGGCACATTATACAGGGTTAATCGAGGGGTTGTTTTTTTATCCTAACTTTAAAACACCCTGTGCAATAATTTCGTGTGTAAATTTTCTTAAAATACAATTTTACGGTAAGAACCATGTCTTCTGAGCATTTTATTTTTTGGATCATGTCAATGCATGCTTTTGTTAATTTTTAAGAGCGAAATGAACTAATCACGATCAATTTGCAATTTTTTTAGTTATCATTACTTTTGATCTAATTTTTAAAAAATACGAGATGGTTTTGGTGACTGTTGTCGTAACGTCATATTACGCTGCATCGGATACTCTATACTAAATTAAAAGAAAACGTTAAGACTAACGATACAGTCCTGGTTTTATTAAACATTAATAACGATAACAGAACTAACGATATTAAGGAAAACATCTGTAATATTGAAGTATACCAACAGAAAAAAAAATGTAAAAATACCCTATTACTTTGTATTGCCTCCCCTGGCTGTTATAACTGCCTGTATATGTTTGCTCATACTATCATTGAAGCTGCATATATCATATTGCGTTATATTTTCGCATTCTTCTTAAAGACCAAGCGAAGTTCATTTAATGAGGCTGGTAATGCTTCGCGACCTCTAACCCTCCTGCCAAACATTTCCCAAACATCGAACATGATGGGCAGTTTATAGTAATATATAGTTCACAATAATCACTAAAGCTGCCTTGTCATATTGAAAAAAAACTTCAAAAATAAATTATAATTGAAAAAATTGCAAATTGTTGATGGGAAGTTCATTTCGCTCTTAAAAATTAACCAAGGCATATGTTGACATAATCCAATAAACAAAATGCTCAGGAGACATAGTTCTGACCCTAAAATTATATTTCAGGAAAATTTACACATGAAATTATTGCAGAGGGTGTGTCAAAATTAGGGTAAAAAAACAACCCCTCGATTAACCCTGTATAATATGCCAAATACTAAAGTTTATAAAAAACTGAGTTTAAACTGATATAATTATATACAGCTTGCTAAAAGATTCATGAAAATACAGCTAAAAATAACAAAAATATAACAGTTTAAATTAAACATTTTCTCAGTTGCGTTTTTTTTGCATCTGAGTGTATTATTTTCATGTTTTCTTTAATTTTCTCTAAACGGTATGGAAATTCTGAAAAACATAAACGGAATTAACCATTTTAGAACAAGCAAAATTTTTTATGAAGAATGCATTTTTCTCAAAATGTCAATAATAAAAAAGTTTTTTCTCTTGTAAAGACAAACCGGGGACATATTGTTTATTAGTGGTAATATAACTTAATTCGTTAATCAGGCAGTGTTGAGATTCTTGTTTTTTAATGAGTACGGCGATATTATTTTAAACGTTTATTGAACTAACAAATAAAATTAACATAGAAAATTTGTTTGAATAAGAAAATCTAACTTTAGCAACGCCATTATATTTTTACAACCTTCTTAGAATTTACATAATGTTGATATCTAGCTACTGTAGCTACAGAGCAATTAAATAATATCTTAATATATTTTAAATTATAAATGTTCTGGCGCATTAACCATATAATAAACAAACTTGTCAATTATTTTTAACACCTTTTCTTAATTAAAAAGTTTAAAATCGTTTAACAATAAAAATTTTAAACACAAAGCACATTTTTAAATGGGTTTTTAAACATACATAAATTGTCTTTTTAAATATTCAAATTTGATTTTTTCTAGAGGCTTCGTAAAATATCTGCTCTTGCCTTTCTGTTGCACAATACTTTAAAGTTACTGTACCTTCCTGCACTTTTTCCTTTATAAAATGAAATCGTACATCGATGTGCTTACTCTGACGATTAAATTGTCAATTTTTAATTATTGTTATTGCACTTTGGTTGTCTATATTTAACTTTTATTTCCCTTTCACTTAGTTCATCGATCACTGATTTTAAAAACAAAAGTTCGTTAACACAGTCTGCAGCTGCGATTTATTCAGCCTCGGTGCTAGATAATGACACTATCGGTTGTTTCCTAGAGCAGCATGATATAGGTCCATCACAAAAAATATTATGTAGCCAGAGTAGTACTTTTATGAGTCTCAATCACCAGCAAAGTCTGAATCACAAATTAGTTTTTCACAGTCTGAGTCCTTTTTAAAACATATTCCATCTCATTGTTGACAACCTCTGACCACTAATCTTGCTTTATATCACTTTTTAAAACTCTGGTATGGTGTGTAGTCATCCAATACTGTCAAAACATGTCTTTTATTATCCAATGTTGTGGGTTCTATGGGGCCACATATATCTGCATGAATCAATTCTAATGTTCTTTTTGCTCTATGTCTTATTTTGTCAAAAGGATTTCTTGTTTGTTTTGCTTTTATGCAGATTTTACATATTTTTAAATTGTTACATTTTTCTTTTGTAAGTTTTAATCCTGTTGTCAAATCAATCAATTTTTTCATAATGTCTATACCTAAATGGTCTAATTTTCTGTGCCAATCTTCAGCCTTTTCTTGCTTTTCTGTTAAATTACTCTCTCTCCTTCTTTATCTAACTTGACTATACATAAACCATTTTCTTTCTCTCTAATATCGTTTTATTATTCTTTTCTTTATTATTACTTTGTCTTGTGTTGTTTCTCACCATTGTCTCTGTAATTGCATTAACTGATATCAAGTTTCGGCTCAATTCAGGCATAAAAAGGACCTCTTTTAATGTGCAAGATCTTCCATGAATATTTCCTTTTCCTTTAGTTATCATTTGCTCACCTTTGTTGCAACTTAAATATTTGTAGATGTATTCTCAATTTTACTAATAATCCTTTAGAGTTAGCCATATGGGATAAACTTCCTGAATCAACTACAAAATCCTGCGTGATTATATATTGAGACTCACTTAAAAAAGATATATTATTTTGATTCATAGTCCTAATTTTCTGTGCTATTCTTCAGCCTTTTCTTGTTTTTCTATTAAATTACTCCCTCCTTCTTTATCTAAGTTGACTACATATAGACAATTTTCTTTCTTTGTTCCCTTTAATATCCATTTTATTCTTCTTCTTTATTATTACTTTTTCTTTTGTTAATAAAAGTTCACCATTTTTTCTGCAATTGCATTAACTGATATCAAGTTTCGTCCCAAGTGAGGTATAAAAAGGACATCTTTTAATGTGCAAGAGCTTTAATGCATATTTCCTTTCCCTTTAGTTGTCATTTGCCAACCAAACCAAACCTTTTTTTTTTGCAAGTTGAATGTTTGTATATGAATGGGGATATACGGGAATATACTGAATCAACTGCAAAATCCTGCGTGATTATAGATTGAAACTCACTTAAAAAAGATACTTAGTTTTGATTAATATTTTTATTTTTGTTTCTGAAAAAACAATCTTGTCCTTTATGATTATTTTTCTTACATATATTACAAATATTATTTTTATTTTTAAAGCGTTCATCTCTACTTGTAATAGGTACATTTTCTGTACAATTTCTAGCAAAATGACCTGTAAGTCCTCTGTTGAAACATTTTTTATCTTCTCGATTTTTCTTGCACTATTTTGTGTTGTATGTTTTACTTTGGCATTTCTTACAAAATTTCTCTATAAAATAGCTATGGCGTTTTCTTCTGTGGTTTTATTTCTCTTTTCTTCAGTTGATAGTCTTTCAATCAATTTATCTAGTGTTTTCTCATCTAGTGCTGTTGATTCACAGGCAGTTATAAAATTACTGTATTGACTTGGTAGGGTAAATAATATTTTTGAAATAACCATCTGGTCATATCTATTTTTTGATTTAGGAACCGAAACCTGTGCACTATATTTTCAATTTTGCTTATATTTTTTACCATATCAGCTTCTTTTTCACACGTAAAGCTATAAAACTTTTGTAATAATGTGCATATTTGGTTTGATGTACTTTTTTGAAAAATATTTTTCAATTTATTAAACATTTCGTTGGAATTTGTACAATCTATGATATGCATCATATATTTTTTATCGATAGTTATTATTATTATTACCTTTTGTGTTCGGGCATTCTTTCTCAGCCATGACGATTTTTCTTCTTGTTTTATAAAGATCACGAGAATCTGAAATTTCCATATTTGATATGATGCTTCATCAGTCAGTTTTTCAATATTTATAGTTACTTCAGCACCAGCCATTTTCCTTTTTTACTTATTGTTGGATCTTGGCCAGATCTCCCCATAATCTGTTGAGATTCTTATTTTTTAATGTGTACGGATATTATTTTAAACGTTTATTGAACTAACAAATGAAATTAACATAGAAAACTTCTTTGAATAAGAAAATCTAACTTTTGCAACGCCACTACATTTTACAATTTTCTTAGACTCAGAATTAGCATAATATAGACATCTAGCTACAGAGCAATTAAATAAATATCTTAATATATTTTATTCATTCGCTATATAATAAACAAACTTGTCAATTATTTTTAACAGGCAGCCCCTTTGAATGAAGAGCAAAAAGAAAAATTAGCTTCCTACCACAAACACTGCTTGGCCGAATCCAAAGTAGACGAAGCCCTAGTGAAGGAAGCCAAGAAAGGTCAGATCAGCGAAGATCCAGCCTTTAAGATCTACCTCAATTGCTTCTCGCAAAAAATTGGTTTCCAAGATGCTAAAGGGGTAATTCAAAAAGACGTTTTCGAACAAAAAATTGGAAAGATTGTTGACGATGCAACACTATTGGAGAAAATAGTAAATCAGTGTGCAGTTCAACAGGACAATCCAGTGGAAACGTCATTTTATATTGAAAAATGCTTACATCAAGTTGCTCCTAACATCGAAATTTTTAAGGTAAGAGTATCTTTTTTATTATTGTAAATATAAGTGTGTAACTTGTCCATGTATAGAGAGTTTTTAAGTACTTTGCATTTTTAAGCTGTTATACCTTATCCTGTCGCCTTCTTTAAAAAGCGTTTTGAAGCTTGACTATCGAGTTGACTACAGTACGTACTACCGTTGATTGAAATAATTGGGAAGATAAGCAACCTAATGGGCAAATTCGAGATAAGTCTGACTTGATTACCCAATACGTCTCAAGTGTTGTAAGGTAGAGTCTCTACTCGTTCTGCGGCCAACGCACAAATCATCATTTTCTCTAATTCGGCCAGCGAAGGAATATCGAAGACGGTGGGGAACTGAAAGCGACAGTGTTGCCATATTAAAATGTGTAATATTTATAATACGTTTTTTTTTGACGAAAATATCTTTGGATGAAAAATCCGAGTTTGTGTATTGAAAATGTATTCTTGTTAAACATAGAATAAACAACAAAAATAAAAATTCTTTTATAGGTAGTGAATATTTCGTTGTTGTTTTGAAATGATGACTATTTGATATTTACCATAATATTTTACATGTATGAAATAACAGCGATCTTCATTTCCACTCATTCATTTTCTAACTCAACCCAAGCAAACTCTGACGCCATTCTTTGTTTAATCACATAATATTATATTAAATTGTTTAATAATAGAAAGTCCGTACTATTAACGTACTGTACCAAAAATCCGTAAATCTGCAGATTAATCTGTAGTTATGGCAACAATGTCTCCGGTTACCACCCAATTTGTCGACTGAAAGCAGGACTACGGTACAGTATTCTTTATCCGCTGCCATTTCCTTCCTTACCAGCGCGCAGCGGCCTAGAGCTAAACTAAATCTCGGACAGGTTGACTAGTGGCGACGGTATTGCCAGCTACATCTCGGACAGGTTTGGTGCCACAAAATCGCCTATAAGGTTGCGCACCTTCAATAGTACCATGTTATTCATTTTGACAAGGACAAGTGACGTTTGTTCTAGTTAAAGGGCCAAATAATTTATAACCATGAATCACTAAATGCTTATTGAGTGGTTATTTTATGACTTGGTAATTGTTCAAACTAATTCCTGTGCTGTTTTTCGATTTAATCCAAGCTCAAGTTGATGATACTCTCATGGAAGCTGGTATTCATAACCGGTATTGCTAAATTTGGGTTGAGAGGATGAAATAATTAATAATACTTTGTTAAAATTGTAATTAATCTGAAGAAGAAATAAATATATAGATTCACTCTAGGTACTGATTTTTTCCTAAAACTACATATTGTCTTATATTTATTTTAATTAAACGTTGATGAAATAAACCCCGCAATAATGTACAAACTTTTGCGATATTACTGAAGATCGATACGGATATTTCTCGATAATTAGCGTAATACTTTAACGCTCATTAAAGTGTATTCAGTTATTTAAGTAACAATGGCGAAAAAAAAAACGGCGTCTAGTTGGCTTTGAAATGACGATCGATGACATTTCCCATATAATTTTACATATAAAATGACAGCGATCTACATTTCATATAGCCATCGCTGCCGCCGTTTTTATTCGATCATACGGTATAATATATAAGGTATAGCGGAGTAGGTTCAGAGTGCCTACATTAATCAAATGAATAAAAGAAAATAAATTTAGATTGGAAAACCCGTCAAAATATATAATTGTTTTGTGTCGCGATCGTTGTACGCGATCTGGCTCTGCTATAGCGGTTGCTAAGAACAACCGCCAAATAAGAACAGAAATAATTTTCTCTTGTAAAAGAATCATCTGGAATCATCAAAAATTATAAAATCTTTCAAAAATTAAACCGTCATTGAAAAAATACCAAAAAGGGTTTAAAGAGTCCATTCTCAAAGTAATCATTGCTACATCTTGTGATAGGCCAGTAAGCGAGGATAAAAATAGGGTATTACCTCCGAATTCTTGACACCCCCACCGATTGACATGAAATTTTAACAGTGAATAGAGCTATATGTAAGAAACAAAAGTTACATAGTAGCGATGTGTGCTTTCACACTGGGGGTGAGTGTCAACCAGGGTGCCACCCCTTCTCGGGGGTGAAAAATATATCACCCATTTTAGTTAAAAATCAATAAAGGGATGGATTCTAAGCAAAAAATGTTCTATAACATTTTTTCAGAAAATTAATATTTTCCTATATATTATATTCCTATATAATTTGATATTTAGGATTGAAAATGTTTATTTTTCACCTAAAAACTGCCTATTTTTCTACAATTTTTTATAAATAACTCGAAAATCTTGCGTTGTATCGCAAAACTCACATAAAGCAAAAATGAAGCTTTTGGAATAACGAATCGATTCATTTTTTGTTGTTTGCCGTAGGTGTAGTAATAGCCGAGTTATCACTCTTTTATCAAACTTGATTCTTAATTTTACGAAAACTAAATTGCAACCTCTTACCGTAAAATAATGGCGAAAGAACACATTTTTCGAAGAAAATGAATATGAACGTTTTTGAAGTGCTTGAAAAATCCTTTTAAATGTCTTTTCAAGTTCGTAGGTCAAAAACTCGCGGAGTTATGATAAAAATAAAATGGTCACCACATTTTTTCGGAAAAAAATTAACAACACAATCTATGACTAAAATCATAAAAATAAAATTTATCAATTGGTAGGAAATTACACGAGCTACAAACTAACCTCTATAGTTGAACGGTCATTTTCACGAGATTTTTGGGTTTTAAGTGCTCCAAGAAGGTGGTCTTTACATGCAAGTCAAACTAAAAAAAAACGTAATATCTACGAAATAAAGAGATCTACAGAAAAATTGAAAGGGAACAAAAATATTGCAAAAAAAGACCTTCAATTTTCCTATGTTGCATTTTTTACGTACCATGCTTAAAAATTTTTAAAAAATAAAAAATAATTTAATATTAAATATTTTCAACTTTTTTCCAAATTTAGGCGCTCTAAACCGCTCGAACTTGAAGAGTCAATTATTGTTAGTACCTAAATATAGCCACTTACGCTTAGTTTTTATTTTTATGATTTTAGTCATAGATTTTTTTGTTATTTTTTTTCCGGAATAATGAGGTGACCATATTATTTTTATCATAACTCCGCGAGATTTTGAGCTACGAAATTTTCTACAAAAGTATTTAAAGGGTCTTTTCAAGCACTTTAAAACGGTAATATTCATTTTCTTCGAAAAATGTGTTCTTTCGCCATTATTTTACGGTAAAAGGTTGCAATTTAGTTTTCGAAAAATAAAAAATCACGTTTACAGAATGATAACTCGGCTATTATTACATCTACGGTAATCAATAAAAAATAGATCGTTTAGTTATTCCAAAAGTTTCATTTTTGCTTTATATGAATTTTGCAATAAAACGCAAGGTTTTCGAGTTATTTATAAAAATTGGCAAAAAATATTCAGTTTTTAGATGAAAAAATCAACATTTTCAATCCTAAATAACTAGGAAAATATTAATTTTCTGAAAAAATGTTATAGAACATTTTTTGCTTAGAATTCATCCCTGTATTGATTTTTGTAATTAAAATGGGTGATTTATTTTGTACCCCCGAGAAGGGGTGGTACTCACCCCCAGGGTGAAAACACACATCGCTACTCTGTAACTTTTGTTTCTTACATATATCTCTATTCACTGTGTGTGTTCAGAATTCAGACCCTAAAACTCTCGCTTACTGGCCTATGAGTTTAATTTAAATTTTAATTAAAACCCGTCATAATGGAGCAAAAAGTGACATTAAAATTAAAAAACTGTGTTGTGAACTGTGAACTGCAAAAACCATCGTGGATCGTGGTATAACGTAGGTTTTCAATGTTTCATAGGTATTTCACATACCTGTGCTTATATAAAATAAAGTTTTTGTATGCAGCACACTGTATTTTATTTATAAAATTAAAAGAAAATAATAATAAATTTAAATAAATAATATTTGGGCACATAATTTCGGAAAAAGCCGAAACAATCCGAAATTATCAAAAGCTTTGGGTCGCGACCGTTGCAAGAATAGCGTCAAGTAGTGTTTACATTGTCCTTATGGGCACTTTCCAATCTAAACTTGTTTCAATGTCTGATGATAGCTGAATAGCCGAAACCGGTCACAAATAAAACATTTTTGATAGTAGTTTGACATTGATTTTGTTTATCACATTAAATCTTTTTATATATTTTTTTATATTTATTGAACATCCTTTCATTATAAATTCACATTTGTTTAACTAGTTATTTATTGAAAAATGTATTTTAATTTCAAGTAAAGTTACTATCATTACTACAAAGTTTTTTGGAAACTTGGTTGAAAACAACAAACTAAAATGTGGTGTTTCACAAAATACTGAAACTTCAAGCTAAAAATTAGTAACATCAGTTGATGACTAAAACAAAAAAAAAGAAGCTAACTCTCAATTTTGATTTCTAGGTAAATCCTGATGTAGTATACGTTCCAAATGAAAAAGCTCAAGAAGCTTATATCATCCACAAAGATTGTGCCCTTCAGTTCAATCACGATGAACAAGAAATTGATGAACGTCGCAAAAAAGGCACCCTGTTCGACAATAACAAATACAGAGATTATTTCTTCTGTTTCTCGAAACGTCAAGGTTTCCAAAATGAAGATGGGCAAATTAATAGGGATGGTTTAATTAATAACGTAAATCAGGTCGTTGAAGATAAGGCGGTTATTGATCGCATAGTAGAAAAGTGTAATGTTCAGCAAGATACTGCTGAAAATACTGCTTTCTTTTTATCAAAATGTCTTCAGGAAAATTTACCTGTAAGTATAATATTTTACATTAATATTGTGTTCATTTATAGAGTATGTTTCAAAACAAATGCGAAAAATTTTAATTAGTGATTCAGAATAAAGAAATTTTATGTTAGTAATTGCGTATGATTGAAAAAAAAACGGCATCAAAGAAGAAGAGAATGACAATCTCTAGACGTCATTTACTAAAAATTGACGTAAAACTTCTATCTATTCCCAAATTTTTTTTTTTTCACGAATTTTAAACTACACCATTTAAAAATCATTTTGTCAATATAAAAATAAATAACAACCTTCTTAAGGCCAACTGGCAGTAAGCAGCATTTAGAAATAAAGAAGATTACAGGCCAAGGGCTTGACGTCTAGGGCTTGACCTCGTCAAAATTATCCTCGATTGTCATTCCCGAGCCGTCTTTGGCGTCATTTTTTTTCGATCGATAGTACTATGGAAGCACACTAACTGCCTGTTTTTTTCACCTTTTGAAAAAGCGAAAAAATTTAAGAAGTGATCCAAAAAAAAATGTGGATGGTGTTGAAATAGGTTAATATTATTGTAAACTTAAGTTAATAACTTAAAAAAAATGCTACTATTAAAACAAAATTGAATAGCCTGAATATTAAGAATCTTTTTTTACATCTTGCAATATAAAACTTTGGTGTATAAGTTATCATTTGTCGGGACGGCTAAAAATCTAGTGGGGATTGCTGTCATTTAATTAAGCGTAGTTAATGTTGCTTTATTTGACATTCTCAGTTAAATCAATCAAAATTTTGATTTATGAAATATTTTTTAATTCTACAGGGCAAGTCTTAAATAAGAGCAAATATGTCCAAGGCTGGTAGAAGTTTGAAATTAAAAAAAAACTGATTTAATTTAAAAAAAAATTGAGAGCCGCCGGATTTTTTCTGTGTTTGCACTTTTTTAGTACTGTAACCATGGTAATAATATCAGAGATTACGTGGGACAATTTGCAGTGAACAGGCAGTTCTAAAAATATTTCTCAAATATACAGGAAAATTTAAAAGAAAATGCATGATTTTCAACATCTTTCTTTTTTTTGCAAAAATAAACCTTATACAGGGTGTCACAGAAATAAGTGCAAGTATTTTAAGGGGTGGTAGATGTCGACAAAAGAAACATATTTTCTCTTTATCGTTTTTCAAATAAGTCCAAAATAACGGAGTTATTTTACTTTCAAAAATTTCCAAAAAATTATTTTTTGTTAAAATTTTGAGAACCACTGGATCTTTCCTGGATTTTCTTTCTTATAAATTTAATCTAATACCTATGTTGCCATATTATCAAGAAATTATGTTTTTTAACTAAAAACTAAAAAAAAATCCAAAAATTTTTTCAAAAAATTTCGAATTTTCAATTTTTTTTGCGGAAAATACCTCATAGGTGTGTTTTTAGGGTTGAACTATACTACCAGTTGTAATACTTGCATTTATTTCTGGGTAACCCTGTATATATACGTATTCCTGGGGTCTAATTATACCACCCCTGACAATATTTGCACTTATTTAAGACTTATCCTGTATATTTTAAAGAACTGTTTGCAAGGTTAGTTTAAAATAAGATATTTAATTAATTATTTTTTTAATATGGTGACGTAAGAAAATGTTAAAAAAATATATTTTTAACATTATGACATAAAATAAAAATGTGTTCGAAAGCAGCCAGATTAATTTCAAATCGATAATTTTTATGAAAAAAATGCAGAAGCTATAAACTTTCTAAATATACCAGGGTATCTAAATATATTTTTTCCGAGAGTTTCGTAAGTTTTTCATATAATTTGGTTAATAAGAATAATAAGGGTGTCGATTTCAATCTCATCCACTCATTTTAAAATGGTAATAAATGTGCAGATAGTATTTTTTATAGTAATTCTATATAATTTTATTGTTTCCATATTTCTACCGCTTTTCGTTTTTAACAATATAGAAGCAAACAAATAAAACCATGATCTTTCCATTAGTTGGCATTTAACCCAAAGTTTATACAACAAATTACTTCCATTTATTTATAACGAAGTATGACCTCTTAAAATACTAAAACAGCCCAGTACATTATGTAAACAATATTTTTTTGCTAAAAACTGAAACCATTTTTGTTTTGTGATATTTTATATAATTAACTGATCATATTAATTAATATAAAACTCTTATCAATCTTTATTTACGAAAAGAAATTAAATTAAATTAAACCGAGAATAAAAATGTAGGTACCTCTTCATTCCATTATTATCGACTTGATTAACAATGCCTTGAACATTTTTAGGTTTATGTAGAACTCTTCCCCAGAGACATTCCAGTGCCAGACGAAGAAGCCAAACAAATCATTAAAAATGGCCGCGAATGTTTACAAGAAACAGGGGTAAACCGTGAACTTGTCCAGAAGACACGCAACGGCATCTTCGTAGAAGATCCAACCTTGAAAGAATTTGCGTTTTGCATGGGCAAGAAAGCTGGATTCATCAATGAAGCCGGTGATGTCCAAATCGATGTTTTGAGAAAAAACACATTGAAGTTGATCAAGGACCCCGTTGTCGTCGAGAAACTTGTCAAATTGTGTGGCGTCAAGAAAGAGACTCCTCAAGAAACATCTTTTTACGCTTCGAAATGTTTCAGTAAAAATTCTCCAGGGAGATTGAGCATTACACAGGTAAGAATTGAATTGTTTTCTATAAATAGAGTTGGTATCATTTAAAGACGGTTGGGCCAATTTGATCATACGTTAATGCTTGCTCTGTAGAGTGACAAATAACGTTTGTTAAGAAATATTAAACCAGTGGACCGAAAATATAAGCCTCAGACATAATATTGGGAATATATGAATACCTCCTATAATCATAATACTTGAGATTATTCCGATTATAACTAACCATAGAAACCACATAGAAGAACATATCCAGTTGATTATTCTTTATTAAATTTATTTGTAATGAATTTGTAATTAGTTTCTTTCAGATTTTTCTCCTTCTGTCTTAATTTTTTAAATTAGTATCGAAATGTATTTCCATTGAAACTTAATACTATGACTAAAAAGAAAAAAGCAAAATTAGATACTTATTTACTAAATATATACATTTATTATCATAAAATTTATACAAGAATATTAAATTTATATCCCGTAAAATTAAATTCAAATCTCAGGCAAACTAATGTCCAGAGGGAAGTGACTAATAAAGGCAGAAAGAAAAACATAGTTAACCATTTTCTTCAAACTGGATAAAACAGCTTCAACGATCTTATTATTATAAGACTTTTGAAGCAGAATAGAATATTGTTTTATTAGGAGTAAAAATGGCACTTTTTGCGGCAATGCTATACGTTTGACTGACATACAGCCTAGGCACAAAAAGTCATTTTTACTCCGAATAGAACATGCTATTTTTTTCAAATCCTATAAATAATTTTTTAAACAAATTCAAACATTCCAAATAATTTAAGAGGATTTAAAAGTTATGCCTTGTATGTAATTATAGTCTGTCCAACGAGAAGATCCTTGACAGTGATAGATGTGTCTGTCATTTTAATTTCAGAGTAGTTTATTTTATTTTACAAAGAAATAAGTTGGTACAACTGGAACGCATAGCAGGAAATTATTATATAAAATTTGACTGACAAGTGATTACTTCAAAATATTGTGAAAAAAACTGTATAAAACTGAAAAAATGTAATCGAGTTATTTAATTTAATAAAAAACGGTATGTGTTAATACAAAACAAACAAGAACAAGACACCACATACCAAAAAAATATAAAAAAGAACTATTTCTTACTTATTTTCGTTCAAGCTTTATGAAACTTCCCGCATTTATGATTATATTTATCAATATAACTTATGTACAAATACAAATTTGTAATATTCCGCAGGAATAAATAAAACAACATAAATAAAACAAACTATTTTATTATTAATAACACTTACCAAATTTTATAGGTACCTTAAAGGTTGATTAATTAACTTTAATCTTAATTTTTTTACACCAGTACCTTTGGCATTATTTTTCTTGTGCAGTACTAAAATCCATTATTTACCTATCGTGTGATGTCGATATTTTACAGCTACTCCAGTTTTTAGTATGTGTTTAGTATGGTCTTTCTACCATATTCGAGGTGCATTTATCTACGACGAGATGGTATACGGACTTTAAAGATGGTAACTTTATTGGTGTATAAGATTTTTTGCCTGGGCAGCGAGTATTAACCATAAACTGTGCTCTGGGTCTACAGTTAATTTTCACTCGATTTTTCCTCCACTTGACTTCAAAAGACACAAAACACACGTAATGACACGAATCAAAATGCATCATCTTCAAAACGCAGGGTATTTGATAAAACTGACAAAAGTTGACACAAAATTATAACCTCTAATTTGCAAGACTTTGACAAGCGTCAAAAATCTAAAGGCGAGTTCATACGCATCGGCGTCCGTTTGTCGTTCATCGTTCCGGCAAACCAATAAAATTGAAATACGAACTGTCATTTTTGAAATAAACCAATAAAACCGGTTAAAAACAACAAGAGACGACGCATGACGGATTTATATTTAAACCCATCCATAGTTAACTTAGAAATTATTAGAAACTTTTTTTAGTAAAATAAATTGATTGGTATGGGACGTCATCTGCTTTTCTTCTGTCATCGTCTGTCGAAATCTTACCTGAGAAAAAAAACAGAGTATATATATCGAGAAACTATGGTTACGGCTCGTTGAATTTGACACTTTATGTTAGTTTAATAATATATTTTCGTACTTTTATGCTTAGGCGTAAAAGTGCATTTAATACTTTTATGCCTAGGCGTTAAAATGACTTTTTTATATTCTCAATCACATCGAAAAAATTAATACCTATTTGACGTTTTAAAAGAAATATTTTAGTATGGAGCATAACATAGAGTAAAACACTTTGTTGATTAACAGATATTGTGTAAATATAATACTTTAAGACCTAAGTATTTATCTTCAGATTAATCCTGAAATTGTACGAGTAATTCTAATTAAGTTTGCCAGAAAAATTGGCAAGGTGATTATTAGCATAAAGAAAATATTATATATATTTTTTTGAAAAATTGTTGTTAACATTTCCATATAAATGAGTTAAATGCACCAGTTTAACTCCTGAGTATGACTAAATCGTTTGCCTTAAACAAAGTCAAATTACCTTAAAAATAGCGATCGAGAGCATTTACAATTTACAATTACAATAAAATCATGTCTCCAAGCAAACACTATATGTAGTGCTCAAGTAACTCTGGATACTAGCTTCCAAAACAAAAGCAGGAACATGGATGGGAGTATTTGGGCCGAAAAATAATAAGCCTAAATAATCCGAACAAATGGGCACCGACCACTGCACCCTTCAGGCAGAAATCTACGCTATCGAAAGATGCGTACAATTTATCTTAGATAAGAATTATCGAGAACAGGAAAGAGGCCATCGTATTCGATAGCCAAGCGGCAGCATTAAAAGCGATCAACTCAATAATCATCAATTGGAAGTTGGTTAAAGAATGCCTAGAGAAATTGAACAAATTAGGCAAAAAAACAATAAAGTCCTCCTACTCTGGGTGCCAGATCACCAAGAGATAGAAGACAATGAAATAGCAAACAATCTAGCTAGAAAAGGATACTTCATAAAGTGGACCAGAATCGTTCTACTTTCCAAGTGATACCAACTTAAAGCGGAACTCAAGAGCCTGGAAGACCCCATCCGTAACTTGGAATGGGAATCCTCCGACGGCCTAAGACACTCGAAGAAATTTCTAAGAAATTACAACCGAGAAAAAAAAAGTTTTTCCTTGAATTAAGTTAGAACAATTGTCGTATTGTCACGGGGTTTTTAACAGGACATTGTCTCCTCCACGAATACCTCAGTAAATTGGAGTTAAGAAACACCGGAACACCTGATCAATGAGGATCCCTACACGATAACCTTTCGTGCCATAAACTGTTTGTCTGATGTCGGAGATGAAGAGCTAGTCTCTGTGAAGTCGTGTCAGATGCTGGCTTTTGTCAAAGCCCTGAGACTGAACGCAATATGATCCGTAGTGTCGCGGTGATTAACCTCCCTCCAAAACATTCTACATCTCTGGACACTAAACTGAATAGTATTAAAACAGACTTGCATCAGAGTGGCTACTTTGAGAAATCGCCCGACAAGACTATATCTATTTGCGAGACAACAAGACTCATTAATGCATCAGCATGAGGTATACATATGCTCTGTCTCTCTCTCTTAATAATTTCATATATGAAAGGAACATCCGACAAGATCAGACGAATAGATTACATTATAAATTTTTCAAGAAGCAATAACATTTTGACGCTTAACTGCCCTAACACACTCACGATTGAATTTCCTACTCTAATATGCAAGCTTAGTAGTTTTAGAATTTAGATCAATTATTTACATTTGGTGACGGTCAGTGCATACATAATATGTATACATGTGACCGAGACGTTGCATAAATTTTAAAATTAAAAATAATGTAATTCCAAGGAGATATCTTATTTCATATCTATTAATCTATTTGTTTTTCAGTTCGGTGCTCTATCATCAGCTCAACAAGCCAAAGCCAGCAAACTTATCAAGGAATGTTTCCAAGAATCCTCTGTACCCAACGAGTTGGTTCTCAAAGCTCGAAAAGGAAATTTCTCAGACGATCCATTACTCAAGCAGTATTTCCTTTGCGTATCCACAAAAGCTGGAGTTCTGAGTGAAGCTGGTGAATTTAACAATGACGTGATCATAAACGACTTAACTGAAATATTCAACGCTGATGAAGCTAATAGTTTGGTAAAGAAATGTGCTGTCAAACGCGGTTCACCTACAGAAACTGCTTTTGAGTCGTTTAGGTGTTTCTACCAAAATGCTCCTGAGGTGGTGCCATTATTTTAAATCAGTATAACTTTAATTTAATATTAAATTAGTATAATTTAGGTTAGTGATATAAATGTAGTTATATTTAAATTATTAGTTTATGTACTTATTTAATAAATAATTTATTAATATGTTTTGTATATTTTTCTTTTACTCGCCTTTAGAAGTTAGTAAGTACGATATCTAATTACTTTAAAATAATTCGGTTAAGGTCCCACATTAAATAATCTCAATATTAACTGATTAAACTCGAGAATATCATAAAACAAAAAAACCAAAAACAAAACCTTACCCAAACATTAACGTGTTAGTGTCGACGTTAACTGATATTAACTCCATTTCGGTGTTTAATCGTATAATAACATAAATATAAAGTAATGAACGTCTAAAAGGCAACAAATTGTTTAGAATAATCAGAGTGTGCTGTCTTACCACTTTATACCTTATATATTACATACTTTAGAAACATAAGTATTTCCATAATAAATTTAATATAAGAAGTATTTCTTCCGTTATAATTTTGCTTAAAGTGAATCTATTAAGCATATAATTGAAACGCACACTAATAAAGTAATTTTATTGATATTTAATTAAATTTATGTTTCATTATTTATGGCACAGATTTATTATAAACATTGTTAATAGTAAATCATTTTTTGTGGCCATCCTAATCGATTAATTGAAGGACATTATATAAAAATAATATATTCGATGTAATTACCACAACTTTTCTTAATTATAATAATGTACTTTTTATAGGATTAATATTTTGTTTGTTTACATTATGTACTAATTATTGTAAAATTAAATTTAGATAATGTGTAGTAAAATATATATAGATTTATTCTTTAATTTATATAAGACTCCTAGTTCAATTTTTAGCAAAATTATATTTATACCCGAGTTTATACCCTATTTAGGCTATTTATAACGACTTCATAATCTATTATTGTATTCTAAGAGAAAATCTAATTATTTTGATTACTGCGCTATCCGTGGTCAATTTTTTTTTACTATTAATAGAAATCGAGTTCACTTGAAAAAAATATTGTTTCTTGTATGAAAACAGATTTTGGAACCAAAAGAGGTGTTCAAAGTAAGGCATCGTAAAGTATTATCGCAACTATAAAGGTAGGCGGCCACTGCGAGCGAAACTAAACTAAGCGAAGATAAGATTTGTAAAAATCAGCTTCCATACTTTTTAATGCGTCAGCGGCTACTTGAGCGAAACAAAACGAAATTATATGAACGAAGATGCGAATCGTAGTTTAGTTTCGCTGGTTTTAGTTCGTGACAGGTTCCAGAGAATTTTTCGCAGCGATTAGTTCTATGATAGCAGAGATACAATACGAAAACTTAGCTGACTACTGAGCGAAAATCGTTCCCAGTGGAGTCCCAGTTAGTTACCGTTTGTTTTCATATTCTTAGCTTAGTTTAGTTACTCTCGCAGTGGCCACCTGCCTTAAGTCTGTCCAACGACAAGGTCCTTGACAGTGATAGATGTGTCTGTCATTTTAACTTCAAAGTAGTTTATTTTATTTTAGAAAGAAATAAGTTGGTACAATTGGAACGAGTAGCACTGTTAGCACTGTAGCAGGAAATTAATATATTTAAAATTTGATTGGCAAGTGATTACTTCAAAATATTGTGAAAAAAATGTAATCGAGTTATTTTATGTAAAAAAAAACAGGTAGAGTGTTATGGTTCACAAGATATTTGAAATCGAAATAATTCAATACATGTCATTGATTTAAATTAACATGTTGAGAGAGAGAGAGACTAGATATTTATTAGACTGAAATAATAAATTGAAATGAAATGTGTAAAAAAAATGAAATGTTTTTGTGCCAAAGGTTCAACAAAAACTGTTTTATCATTATATTTCCCAAGAAAAAATTATGATTAATTTAAAAAAAATGATGGGTTTCCAAATTTATCGCTTCAGTCAAATAACGATCTACTCAACATGTTTATTTTTTGTCAATAATGACATATATTGACTATTTTCATTATAAATATCTTTAGAATGGTTTTTCGTAACGATTTTAAACCCTCGATACCCTTCTTACGTAGAAAATTACATAAATGTATTTTCTCAGTAGGTTTACACAGGTATGGACGAAGAGTTATTACTCTTGAAAAGAGTAAAACACCAGGTTGGTGGCGCCTCTTACATATGGGAGTCATATAATATCAAAATCAAATTTCACGCACACCAAGTTTTATCCAAATATCAGCTATAGTAGAAATTATTTTGAAAAAAACGAAATAAAAATTAAACTCTTTTACATCCTGTATCTCTGAAACGAAGCGACGACATATATTAGGACATATATTTTTTTAGGACATATATTTATACGAACTTACGATAAGAAAAAACAGTATTTGAAAACTTTTGCACACTATCAAACATACAAAACCCATTCTGGACACTATGTATTCCAAGTTCTCTCTACCGTTTCACAATTACTTGACTAATTGCAAGCAATAACGAAACCTGTTTGCACCTATTGAAACTGGTATCATCGTCGCCCTTGTTAGTTGTATTTAAATGGTGAGTTGAAAAGGAAAACTTTCGATATTAATTTCAATTGGACCTGATTTGTATATGTCGGTGTATTTATTGAGAGGGACGGTTAGATCTTGTTATAAATTGGTGTCATAGGACTAATTCAATCATTACTTTAATTTGTTTACGTCCCTCACAGATGCAGAATAAAGCAATCATTTAATTAAGGTGAATGTATATATACAAAAGAAGAATCTGCGAACCGCACAGTGAATTTTTGTGGTAACCCGTCCTAACTTTGAAGTCAACATGAAAGTATTTGTAGCTATTGCTTTGATGGTAGCTCTTGTCCAGGTAAGCTACTTGCTAATTCTCCATATATCATACGAATTTAAAGCTTTATATTTATTTATAAAAAAAGTTCAAATAATTTTGATAGTTATTTTTGTTATTATAATCCGTATTTTTTTTTTCAAAATACCAAGGGTGACAAACTTTTAACAATAAATATTTATTTATTTGTCTTTAGTATATTTTTCTATAACTTGGATCCATTTAAAATCTAGTGTTGTAGTAACCTATCTGAACGAAATTTTAGTTTATCTGTAGCATGAACTGACCTACCCAACAAAATACATATTAAGTGTTTTCAATTTTTGTGCAGTACTAACTCAATACAAATTTAAAATTGCAGTAATTTTAACAAAGAAGACTGTTATACAGGGTGAGTCTTAAATAAGTGCAAATTTTTCAGGCAGTATATTCCGACCTCAGAATCACGAAAATTTGAAAAAAAAATGAAAAAAAATTTTGGATTTTTTTTTAGTTTTTAGTTAAAAACCGTAATTTCTTGATATTATGATAACATATTAAATTTACAAGGAAGAACACCCAGAAAAGATCCAGTGATTCTCAAAAGTTCAGCAAAAAATAATTTTTCTTGGAAATTTTCAAAATAAAATAACTCGGTTATTTTGGACTTATTTGAAAAATGGTAAAGAGAAAGTATGTTTTTTTTATCGATATCTATCAGCTCTGAAAATATTTGCACTTATTTAAGAGTCACAGTACAAAAATAATGCATGATAAAATAATACGTATATCTTACAGAATCAGAAGCTGTCAAAGCCCTATAAAGTGACATCAGAGTATTTAAATTTCATTATTTTAATATTAGTACAATATAGTATTATAAAATATAAGCAACATTGAACTTTTTTTCAACTTTCAAACTTATTTTTATTTAATCCAGTGTTAAAATTACTAAGCGAACCAAAATATTTGGAAATTTTCGTGATACAACACTCAAATAATTTCTTGTTATTTTGAACGCTAGGAATTCCTTATTTAAATTTTGAATAATAATTACCTATTCTAGGAGAGTAACTTTTCTGTTTTTTTTTTGTAAGTGGACTTTAATTCTGTTTTTAATAATATCATACATGACTATATTGGAAATTTAGTAGGTTTTCTATCAATATTATTAAAACATTATAAATAGTTTTCTACGACGTTCCCTATGGGTATCTCGGAAACTACTACAGCTAGAGAGTCTGTTAAATTGGGAAAGAATTGCAGTTTTCTGAGGACAAACATAAGAGACTAGATATTCCTACTAGATATTCGGCTATTTTAAAATCTATTTTATACAGAAAGTCTTCAGATAAAAGTTGTAGATAATCGCATCCTTAATAAGATTTTACGTTTTTTTTCTAAGGCCTGCTATTTTGACCTGTCAAACAAACATGTTACAAAAGTTAAAATTAGAGATTCGCGCATCAATAGTGTAGTGCTAACAAGACTTTATGACGCCCCTGAATTGCTCATAATGCTCAAAATGAAACAAATGTTAAAAATTATTTATATCATAATTATACAAACTGACGGATATCGAGAAGTAGACTAATAATTGCATGGGCCTCCTCGGTCACCTGACCCATTCCTGACCTATCCCCTTTAGATTTTTTGCGGTATAACCATACATATAATGACATGTTTTAGGAAAAAAAAGAGAACAATATCATTAAGAATGTGTATCTACAACTTTTATCTCATAACTTTTTGTCTAAAATTGATTTTAATGGAATTAGGGAGCATTTGTAAAAAAGCCGAATTTTTTTTCGAAATATCTATAAGCCATAAAATTCAAGTCATCAAAAACCCATATGAGGCATATATTTCACCTCACAAAACTCCAAGTCTTTCCCAATTTGCTGACTCTATAGTTTCAGTAGTTTCCGAGATAACCATAGAGAACAACGTAGAAAACTGACCCTGTATACAGTAATACAGGTTTGAAAATACAACTTTTAAAATTCCGAAGTTAGCAAATAAAACAACTTTTATGTATGTATTTTAGATGTAAACAAATTCACTTATTTCTAAATTATATATTAGAACATCGTTAATAATTAATCAAAAAAAGCCAATAAATAGAGTTAATTTATAAACAAAGTATTTATATTTATTTTAAGAAAAACTAATTATATAATACTTTTAGTAATATAAATTAATAGTTTTTTGTATATTGTGTAAATAAATAGAGCACATAGGTACATATCATTTAGTGCTTTTCTGATATTTGAAAAAATAAGGCATTTTTTCGTGAACGAAGTCTACATGTAGGTGAACCAAATCTATAGGTATTCAAATTCCATAAATGTATCTAAATTTTATAGGGTGGGTCTTAAATAAGTGCAAATATTTTTAGGGGTAGGTACCTAGTAAATTTCGAGCACAGAAACACAATTATGAGGTTTATCCGCAATTTTCTTTTTAATTAGGATTTTTTTGAAGAAAAATTTTTGAAATTTTTATAGCTTTTGGTTAAAAACATAATTTGTTGATAATATGGCAACCATTTACAAAAGAGAAAAACCAGATAAATTCAGCGGTTCTCAAAATTTAAGCAAAAAAACATTTTTTGGAAATTTTCAAGGTAAAATAACTCGGTTAATTTGGTTTGAAAAACGGTAAAGAGAAAATATGTTTCTTTTATTGACATCTACCAGTCCTGAAAATATTTGCACTTATTTAAGACTCACCCTGTACAATTAAGGACCGATATGAAAAAAATAGCGCCAGACGTCATTTACTAAAAATTGATATAGAAGTTCGTCAAAAATTAACGCTAATTATAGATAGATTAAAAAAGGATCTAACGTTCGCAGACACACAAATCTCTTTTTTCAAAAAATTATATTTTCCCAAATTTTAATCTATACCATTTAAAAATCATTTTTGCTCAATATAAAAATGAATTACAATCTTCGTAAGGCCAACTGGCAGTAAGCGCCGTTAAAAAATAAAGAAGAGCCAGGGCCAGGTAATGACGTCTAGGGTAGACCTCGCCAAAATTATTATCGATTGTCATTCTCCAGCCGTTTTGACGCCATTTTTTTCGATGGTAAGGTATATAGAAATAATATTACCGGTCAGTTAAGGGGTATTATATGGAAATTACTTGGTTCACCTCTATATCTTCCAACGTAATGTAAAATATGTCAGTTTTTGTACTAAAATTGACTGTATATTCAATTGCCTTTCATGATACAGTATTTGAAATAGTTATTTCAAACAATTTGTTTACTATGTGCTGCAAAATCACTTTAGAAATGTTTCAGTCAATACATGTTGATGGGACTTTCATAGATATTATAATTTATTGTTTGTACTTACGCATCAATTTAATTTTTAATGACACCTACTATGAATAAATAAAATATTCATATAAGTAGTTTTGCGATAACGTCAAGAGTAATTTACAATATTGCGATATATAATTAAGAGTGATATAAAAGAGACCTATATTTTAATATACCGGGTGCGTCTCAAAAGTGGCTTGCCCCCGAGCTTGCCCCTATAACTTTTATATTTATTCAGATAAAAAAAAACAAGATTTGGTATGTTAGTATATGACATAAATTGAGGAATGATTGACGTACTCAGGTTTTTTGGGTCACTTCCTGTTTCACCGTAAATGACTAAGTACAACTTTTGATTTTTAAATGACACCCGTATTTTTTTACTTATGACATATCATACATTTTGATATTCTCGCTTAAAAAAAGTTGTATATTAAATTTCAATCTAGAGTGCCATGTCTGTGTTAAAAACACTGATTTTTAATCAAGGTGCCTTGGAAAAATATATTTGATCGTCTAATGTCTTTCGTACCTTGTCTTGGCCGGTTAACAGAGGCCCAATTACCCAAGTCGTATTTTTAATCATATCTCCGTTTTTTTCAAATGGAAAGAGGGTGGCCCATTAGCATATTTAGAAAACTCATTTTTTCTACGGATAATTTGGTACCACAAAAAAATTGTTATATGAACCGCATGTTACAATTTTAAATAAACCATATGAGAAAATTGACAAAAAAAAACAAAAGTTGACATATTTACGATATGTTATTCTATTCAGAGTGTCGCTTTATATCAAATAAAGTAAAAACAACCAAGGCTGCCATTTAAAAATCAAAAGTTGTAGTAGTTTCGGGTGAAATAGGAACTGGCAAAAAACAATTGAATACGTCAACAAATTATAATTTATGTCTTACACAATTATACCAAATCTCGTTTTTTTATCTGAAAAAAAATAGAAAAGGTATAGGGGTGAGCCACTTTTAAGACGCACCCGGTATGTGCCATTTTCACGTTTCTGCACCGTTTAATAATTTAATATTGAGCTGCTATAAACGACTGGTATATTACATATAAATTAATATGACATGTTAAAATGCAATAAAACTTCTGTTATTTTACTAACCGTACCCCATTTCACTCACTTGTTTCCCTCACTACTCGTACTCTCTCTGTTTACTCTTATTTTTGTTGCTTCTATATTTCTACACAATTTCTTTAAGTTCTGGTAGGAAACCTACGTTAAAAAAATAAGCAATGTAAAAGAATAAAGAATAAGCAATTTTACTTCTATTATTCCTCCAACTCACACCCATTTTACTCACTTGTTTCCCTCACTACTCTCACTGTGTACTCTTTTTATTTTGTAAGTACTTACATTCTGTCTAAAATAGTTGTAGTTGTTGTCAGAGTATACAACTCTATAGAGCGTACCCAGTGAGCATTTTATTCTTTTACGGGAAATGTGTCCTAGGTGACGTCGTTGTTACGTTACAAAGCCCTTCTTTTGCCTCATAAAAATGAATAAAACTCAGATATGTAACTGTTCCCTAATGTGACTAAATGTGACTAGACTTTGCTCACTGTGTAGTAAAATGAGTAATTAATTGTGAAAATTAAAGATCCAACACTAAATGTAACATTTTTCGTAAATGCCTACTTGGGCGCTTTTTTTTTAATTTAGATGCAAAATCCGGCGATAGCGCATATAAGAAATGTACGAACCTAACATTTTTCTCTTTTTAATAAATCCGATTTTTCATTAAGCTGTCTCTATCACTGTCTTACACGTTAAAATCCACACCAAATATCATCATCATCACCATCATCAACCATCAGCCACTAAAGTCCACTGCTGGACGTAAGCCTTCCTCGTTTGCTTCCAAAACTCCCTATCTTGAGCTATTTGCATCCAATTACTGTGGATACGCCTTAAGTCGTCATACCATCTGGTTGGAGGACGGCCTCTGTTCCGAATGATTCGTGTCTTGGTCTCCATTCTATTATTTTCCTGGTCCATCGGTCATCGTTTAGCCTTGTACCAATGTACCATGCACTATTCCATTTCAAAGTAGGTATTTTCTCTATAGCATCCATGACATTTGTTCTGTCTCCCCCCCTCCCCGTACTTCGATATTGGGTACTTTGTCTCTCAAAGATAGCCCCAAAATTGATCTTTCCATTGCTCTTTGCGCACCATACGTCAGAACAGGTAGTACGCATTCATTGAATACCTTTCTCTTCAAACATATCCGAAGTGTCCATTTGAAAATATATTTCAATCGTCCATAGGCGGCCCAAGTGAGTCCTATTCTTCTGTTAAGCTCGCAAGTTTAATACGAATAAATGGACTCACAAGAATACGGCCCCCAACAAGAATACCACCCCCAAAAAGTGACTAAATATATAAAATATATAAATCTTGGAGGCAAGGTTTAATTATTGTCTCGAGAATTGATAATTTCTCGACAGACCTATTTTCCTACATGGTGTGTCATATATTATTAAAGCAACTTTTATTGTTATTGTGCTTAATATAATTTCTACATCTTTTAAATTTCAGTTGTTTTCTTTTATTGATATTTATGTAAATATTTGTTTTGTTCTTTAGGTCAATGGCCAGACTGATAAACAAAAGGAACTCTTAGCCCAACACTACAAACAATGCGTAGAGCAAAGTAAAGTCGACCAGAATGTTCTTCAGCAAGCACGAGCTGGCAACTTCGCCAACGATGCTCAACTGAAAGATCACATTCTCTGCATCACCAAGAAAATAGGATTCCAAAATGAAACTGGTCAACTGCAGAAAAGCGTGATTGAGAAGAAGCTCAAAGAAGCCCTTAAAGGAAACGCAGAACAAGCGAAGAAGCTCATCGACGAATGCGTCTTAGCCGATAAAGATCCCAAAGTTCAGGCGTTCAATGCTTTCAAATGCATTCACCAGAAGGCCAAAATAAATTTATTGTAAAAAGTGTTCTCGTTTTGTTGCAAGCAGTTTTCAGTTGCCGGAGAAATATTTTAATGGAGATTTTGTATTGCTAACTTAATTTTGTAACAAAACAGTGAAGACAGTCCTTATTAGCAGAAAATAAATATTTAATAAACAATTAGGTGTATTAATTGTGGTACCTATTAATAGTTATTTTTTATACAAGACGATAAAATGGTTTATCGTCCATCGAAAAGATTAATTCACGAGGGATGAAATCGTGAGTGAATTAATTTCTTGAGACGATAATGCAATTTTGTCGTCGTGTATAAAACAATATTTTTTTCCATAGCGAGTTACGTTTTAAAAAATATTCAGAAATTATTATTTCGAAGGAATTTATTACGAGTAGAAAAAATATTGTGCTGGGTTGGCGTTGGTTTCTATGTAATTTGACAAATAAATAAAGCTGTCTCTTTAGTTGTCAGTTCAATATTTTGTAATCCTCTTTCGTGTCGATTGCTGATTGAAATGGAGCCAGGAATGGCTCAAAACGAAATAAGTAAATTACGAACAGATATTCAGGCTGAGGCGACAAACGCCATATCCAACTACTTCCATTTAAATCTCGAATAACTTAAGAAAAAGAATACAAACATTTTCAAAAATAGAAGCAGTTAAAAAACATGAGAGAAGAAATAAAGTTTTTAACCTATCCTCGCTGTTAAAGTATCATTTAATCTACGCTTGTGGTTAAAGTACTATTTTATATACTATTTTTGATAGATATAAGACAATTTTAACAGTTGCTATGGAAAAAAATGTATGTTTTAAAAAAGTTATATGTTTTATGTAAAAAAATAGTGCCGAGCATCAGGTTCGAAACGAAAAAGCTCAAGCTAAAACCTTATTTTTCAGCCTGTTTTACTTAGCGTATTCTTTCTTATAGTATTATGAATAAATATACAGGATGGCGCACCTCATTCGCCTCGATTGATTATACGAAAACGGAAAGATGTAGAAACAAAATATTTTATGGGTATATGTGGGGAAGTAATGTGCACAATTTAAAATTATTTTGAAATGTACAGGATGTTTCCTAAGATCCATACCAAAGTTGTATTTTTTCTTACGGAACATTTATATTTTTTTTTCACTTTTGGATTCTTGGGCCCAAAAAAAGGTATTTATTATAAGGGTAAATATGTATATGTAATATATGTATATTATAAGGCTACAATAGAATAGATTATTAACACCCTGTACATTACTTTTTTCAGAATTAGTTCTTGTGCTTAATTTAAAGGTAGAGATATAAACTTTACAGAAAATGTTATTCCTTCCTTAAATGTATACAGGGGTATCAAAAATTGCTAGTCTATTTTAAATATTTATTTTACATAAAAAGTTCGTTATTTCAAATGCAACACTTTGTATTTTTTTAAATAAGTCGAAGCAGATTTTCAAACTATAGGGTTAGGGAATATAGGGTTTCCTATACCTATCTGGCTCTGATTGTGAATAAAAAGCGATTCTTCAATAAAATTGTAATCAAGATGGCTAGTGTTGTCATGGCATATTTCTAGTGATAGTTAGTAGCTATTTTCAAAATAGAAATTAGTTTAAGGACTTATCTAAATTTATACCAGTTTATTTTTATTTAATTTACTTACAACAGTTTAATAATTAATATTTATTCAATATGTATTTATTATTCTATCAAGAAAAACGAAGAAGTAGCTTTTGAATTATTTTACGATGACTTGACATCGATTTTCATTAAAAGAGCCAATTACGGCAAATTCATTTTCTTCACTTCCAACGTCAGGTTTCTGCCTAATAGGTTTTTATAAACCACACTACCAGGCGAAATAGGACAAGAAGTTTTTCAAAGAAACTCTTATCAGGAAGATGCCTATTTGGATATCTTTGAGCATACGCCCTTGAGGCCAAGAAGCAATTTTCCTCACAAAATAATATCACTTGTAACATATTCTATTCGTTCCGCCAGCAGATACTGCTTTATTTTTCTTGATAAAATAATGAATTCTTACTTATATTGTAGGTAAATTTAAGTAAACTGTTATAAATTATAAATAATAATGTCCATAAACTAATGTCGACTTTGAAAATAGTTACTGTCACTAGAAAATTGCCTTGGCGACACTATCTTGATTACAATTTTATTTAAAAATCGCTTTTTATTCAAAATCTGAGCTAGATAGATATAGGAAACCCTAATATAGTTTGAAAGAGCATTTGAATTTGCTCCGATTGATTTAAAAAAATACAGGGTGTTACATTTGAAATAACAAAGTTTTTATATAAAATATGTCCTTAAAATAGATCCGCAACTTTTGAAAGCCCTGTATAAACTTAAGGAACCAATACCATTTTTCAGTAAAGTTTATTTCTCTACCTTTTAACTCAGCAATTAATTATGAAAAGTAATGTACAGGGTGTTGATAGTCTATTATATTGCAGCATGTAAATTTAAATATCTTTAAATATCTAAAAAACTAAAGATTTTAAACACATTCAACCCTTATAATAAATGCCTTTTTTTGGGCCCAAGAATCCAAAAATGAAATAAAATACCAGGTGTTCCATAAAAAAAAATATAACTTTGGTATGAATCTTAGTTCTGAAACACCCTGTATATTTCAAAATAATTTTAAATTGTGCACGTTTGCTCCCCACATATATCCCTAAAATATTTTGTTTCTAGATCTTTCCGTTTCCGTATAATCAACCGAGGCGAATGAGATGCGCCGCCCTGTATAATGCTATTCTTATAAAAAAAACAAAATATTTTAAATACAAAAATGTTCAATTTTAAATTCTCCACCTTACAAAGGAATAATATACAGGGTCGTATACCATTTAAAAAAATGAAGAAAAACTATTTGACATTTTAGAAAGTTTGACATATAATTTTGAACACCTTGTATGGTCTAACACTACGATATTTATAGGAAAGTAAGTAGAGATCAACTATAGTAAATGCATAGTATAGTTTTCATTTCGGGACACTTTTCGTACTTTCAATATTTTTTTTTAAAAAGGCAGAATTTTTTTTATTTATTTAATTATATCTCTGAAACTATCAAAACACATTTCATAATATCTGAGGATTATATAAAGCGATTAGAATATACAGGAGCTACAAATAGCCGGAGTGCCGGATGCACTATTGCCGGACTCAACAGCCAAGTTCGTTGCTAAAAGCAAAAATATCTAATGGCAGTTCATTTGTAAGTAAAATATTTATTTAGTGCTCATATGTCCAGTTAAATTTATTGATTCAGTTTTAGTACTAGTAGTTTTTACAGAAAAATACATTTAATTGTTTAGTTAGATTAGACTAAAGTGATGCAAGGTATTGGGAAGATATCATGTATCGAGATGGCATCATACAATTCATATTTGTACATGTGAGCAGCTCTAGGTACAAGTGGGGCAAGAAACAACACAGCGCAAGCTGCGCTAGAAGTAATTCTAGACTACAATAGCAATCAATCGACTGGTTCGTGAAGGATCTGGCTGCTAAGGGTGCCGTAAGATTAAGGGAATCCAATCTGTTGAACCAGACCAACTACGGTCACTCGAGGATATTGTCAGTGATAGGGAAATTCATGGTAAACACGAGTCCACATCTGCTAGACCAGAAAACGGACTATATGCTCACCAAACATGATTTTGGAGAAAAAGATAAGGATTCGCATCTCGACAAGAGAAGAATGGAAAAGCAACCGAGTAATAAACACTTACGAGAAAGCAGTCTACACAGATGCTTCCGCAACTTCAGGAGGTACAGGTATAGGCATCTTCTCAGAGGAACTAGACATCCGACGATCTTTAAGGCTATCGGATGGCTGTAATGTTCTACAAGCCGAGGTTTACGCCATTAAAAAAGCGGCCAGTTGTATACGAGAGAAAATTGCTGATCGACCAATAGGGGATAAGATATACTCTCACAGCTTGGGCGCTTTAAGAAGCATCACCATGCAATCAGTGAGATCGAAAACAGTGATGGAATTGCGAGAAGCACTGTCCTGGCTGCATCGGCGTCGGGGCGGGGCTACTCTGTGCTAGGTGCCAGGCCACAGCAATGTGGTGGGCCATCAGGAAGCAGACAGACTCGTCAAAGAGGTGGCCAGGGGAGAGGCCATGGCAGATGACTATATAGGAACTGCCATCAAGGCCAAGCAGCAAGAGACGTGGCAACACCGTGAGGACTGCGTTACAGCTCGAAGACTATGGCCACTGGTAGATAGCAAAAAGACAAAACAACTACTAGAAAACAAAAAGAACCTAGTACGCATAATTGTCGGTGTCGTCACTGCAAACTGTCCCACGGGGGTAAACCTCGTGAGATGGAAAATTTCCAACGACGTCTACTGCAGAGAAAGCGGAGAGGAAGAAGAAACCATAGAGCACCTACTGTGCCACTGTCCGGCACTGGAATACCGACGCTTTAAAACTTTAGGGCAAGGTTTTTTGGAGGGACTAGAGGAACCAGCAGAAGCCAACATCAGCGACATCGGGAACTTTGCAAAGAGCTGGAAGTGCTTTAACGCAAAGAAATCAATTAATCGACAAAAACAAAATATATTAATATGCTCAAACTTTTATTCCCATAGTCCATCTACAAAAGCATTGAAGGTGCGTGTATATAGAACAGCAGAGTAAAACAGTCATTTATAAAAATGAAAAGTGGTCAGGAGTTCGTCTTTGGAAGCACTTAAATGATTCCAAGGCACTTTCTTCAGGAGTGGATTTTTCGACAAAGCAGTTCTCGAATATTTCCTTTGCCAAATTATCGTCTTCGACAAATTCGGATATTTTTTCTTTGACAACATCGACACGTATTCTGTTGCTGTCATCGCGGAAACCCATCTTCTTGGACATGCATAAAGAGAACTCTGGAAGCTTGTCATCGTCTTGAAACATTCCGCGATGGGCCTGGTCAACCACTTCTCTATCAATGTCAGTTTCTGATATACAATCGGTAATGTAATCTTTGATTTTTTGCTTTTGCTCGTTGCTTAGCTCACCCTAAAATTATTGGATTTGCAAAATATTTAAACGTTTATATTTTGTCGTAGTATAGCCAAGAAAGACATATGTAAATATAATACTCCAACTATACCTAAACCTAAAACCATTGTTACTTTTTGATTTTTGAATGCTCTAGATTTAAGGAATAGCTAGATATTTGTTTTCACAAGTTATTCCTAGTCTACGTAGTTTTCTACGTAGTGAAGGAATGTGCATTTGAACTGAAATGGGTATATGAAAAACTCAATGTATAGGGTGGCGCCTCTCATACGCCGCGGAAGCTCAAAGGAGAACGGTAATTTGTATCGAAATTAAATTTTGGCAGAACATGTAGGTTAACTGAAAGCATTTTATAAAAATATATAGAATTATACAGGGTGTCCCCAAAAAAAGTTACACATCAAAGTTGTGTTTTTTCTAATGGAACACCCTATATATTAATTGATTTTAGGATTCTAGGAAAAAAATAAAGGTGAGTTTTATTAAAGAAGCATATACCTAAAATCTAAGGATTTTGACATATTTCACATTTTGTGAAAATGAAGACTAAATTTTAAATTTCGATAACAGCTTATTAAATTTTAGTTGACCTTGTATAGCCTGATTTTTAACGTCTCCTTTCTGCTGCAATGGCTAAACTGGACGGAACCTACTTGTTTACGCGGAATCCGAACCGCGGTCCTCGGCCATATCATGGTCAATGGCCTACCGACTTAGGAAGTGTCTAAATTAAATCTTACTCACGAGATATCCGATCTCATCCGGCCATGAACCGGCGTGAATGAGCAGTGTGTATCAATAGATTATACACTTTTCCCTTTTGGACAACAGCACGATGAAAAGTTTCGAACCGGTCACCCGTCCATCCACTAGCATCGCCTTACGTCGCTTAACTTCGGTGTTCTAATGGGAACCGGTGTTTCGACGTAGCTTGGCCGTTGCCTTTGGTCGAGTATTGTAAACACTGGCTTTAACATATCGCCATAAAAAACCCAGACTATATATAATCAGGAGCATTTAGGTATTCTATTAATTGGTGAATGCACTGTACATTCAATATACAGCACATTGCATTCACCAACTTATAGAATTATATCAACTCTCTCTGATGTAGGATTTGTTTGCATTTTCGGCAAATTTCTGAGTTCTGAGAATTTTTTTTGTTTTAACTGACACAAAATTATAGCTAGTTGTTAAAATTCGACTAATTAGACAGCTATGTTGAAGTAACATCTGACATATCACAGCCACCTAGATTTTATCAAATAATAAATATCTACTCAGATCAAATAATGTAAATGAAAATATCTAGGAAAATCCTTGTTTGTGGGGTAGGCAACCTGAATGGTATTTTGAAGAGACATGAATTCTCCATTGAGTACAGAAATAATATACTGGGTGTTCCATTTAAAATAAAAGAGTAACATGCTTTTAAAGGTGACCAATGTTCAATATTAATTTTGTCTCAACGTGTATAATTTTTTTGGATCAATTTTTAATGTGATTTTAATTACAATAGTTAATTTAACTACATATTAGGCTATACCGGGTAAATTCCAATTTAAGTAGCTTTTATTGTAATTTAAAAATTGTTCTTGATTTCTAGAAAATGTTAAATATGTCAAAAACCTTACATTTTAGCCATATACTTCTATTATAAAACTCACCTTTATTTTTCTCCCAGAATCCGAAAATTAATTAATATATAGGGCGTTTCATTACAAAAAACAAAACTTTGATATGTAACTTTTTTTGGGGACACCCTGTAGAACTCTCTATATTTTTAAAAAGTGATCTGAATTAACCTAGATATGCTCACAAAATTTCATTTCAATACAAACTGTCGTTCTCCTTGGAGCCTCCGCGACGTATGGGAGGCGCCACCCTGTATATGTTACCGGCAAAGTTTGAAATTCGACATTGTATAAAACAGGAATTTATTAAAATAGGAATATATATATATATAAAAAGTGAGTCTTAAATAATTTTTAAGGGTGATATATTTTGGCCCCAGAAAAAAACAAACAAAAAGACTAAACAAAACCTTGTTCGATTATGATACAAAATACAGGTATTCTATTAAAAAAAATGATGAAAAATATGATGTGAGCAGACTTACTAAATGCATTTCGTCATTTGTCAGAGACAGATAATAAAAAATCAAATGTATTGAAAAGAGAAAAATGTTGGATTTATAGATTTCTTATGTGGGGTATTGCCGGATTTTGCATCTAAATAAAAAACCGCTCAAAATGTTTGTAGTTTTGCACATTTTTTAAGATTTTTAACCAAAGGTGGAATATAGCAGACTTCAAACACAAAGTTACAATATTACTTTAGACACGAAATTCTTTATGCATTTTATCCCATTCGAATTAACTGGCGAAAATACCTGTGACTTTCTATGTGTTGTATGTCCATTGGCGGTAGAAAAAGAAACAGTATAGCATAGCAGTATATAACAAGTATAGCAAACAGTAAGATGCTGCGGAGATACTATTAACACTAATAAGCTAATTTTTCTATTTTTTTAAAAATACTACATAAAATAATAAATGGAACTAAGACTGTCAACCATATAGTTGGGAATACGGACCGTGCTGGCAGAAAAATAAAGAGAAATGTCACGTCTAAAAGACAGTCAACAGTTTTTTCTAATTTTTTCAGATATCAAAACTAGATTTTTCACATGTAGGTGTACTATTTTTATGATTTTTTATCCATTTTTCAAGTCTACTAGTTTTCCGGTAAGTCGTATTTTTGTACCCTGTAAAAAGCGTAGCAGTTTTTCTTTGTTTGCCAAAATTCGAAAAAATGGACAAAATGCATCTAGAAAGTCTCCTCTCCTCACTTAGTTATGACTCGCCCTCTATATATAAAACAATTATTTTGGTAGACCGAATTTTAAAGAAGATGCTCAAATACAGTATCTTCTGTTAATTTGTTTTTAAATTCTTTGAATTTAAAATTTTAAGAGGGCTTTAGATAAGCAGTAAATTTAGTTTAACAACGGTTATACTTCAAAAACCACTCGGAATAGTATGGTATTAGAGTATATTATAGTATTTTTGGAACCGAAATATAGTGGCAAATCCACTGAGTTAAAACCATATACAGTGTGAGTTTTAAATAAGTGCAAATATTTTCAGAGGTGGTATATTTCGACCCCAGGAACACGTCTATGAGGTTTTTTTCGCTAAAAAAGATGTTGAAAATCGTGAATTTCCCTGTATATTTTTCGTAAACTTTTTACAACTGCCTGTTCACCGCAAATTTTCCCGCGATATAATTTCTTAATCTCTGATATTACCATATAGTTACGGCTTTACTCTATGGTTATGGCAATAAAAGGGATGCAAATAGAGAAAAAATCCGGCGGCTCTCAATTTTTTTTCAAAAAACCTTCTTTTTGAATTTTTAACTTAAAGCTTTTTTTAATTTTTTTATTAAAAATTTAACATAAAACTTTTTTTATTTTTAACTTTTAAACTTTTATTCCGGGTGCTTGGTGGTGTAGAGGTACAGGTTCTCTACCAATCTCAAGGTAGTGGGTTCGAATCCCACACCCGGCATTGCATCAGCCGACTATTTTTATTAAAATAAAAATAGTTTGGGTACCTAGGTCGACTCAGCCTTAAATGAGTACTTGAGATTTACAATAGGCGGTTGAAGCGTAGTGCTAGCCACATTACCTTCCTTGTATACCGAACGGCTCTAGTATGGCAAGCTGTACCTTGCTACTCCCAAGGCGTTAAACGCTATATACGGAAGCTATTATTATTATTAACTTAAATAACTAGGTTATTTTGGACTTATCTGAAAAATGGTAAAGAGAAAATATGTTTCTCTCATCCTGTACAGTATTTCATTTAAAATTTCCATTTAAAACTTTGGTTCGAGAATATGTAAAGAATTGAAATGAAATTTACAAATGAAAAACCTAATATAGAGCTTTTAATGAAGTTTTAATTACTCCGTATATTGAATATGAATGTTAATTGATTATTAAGACGTGGTTCCTCGATCGATGCGTCGATGTGGTTTGTAATACTCACTGTGCGTTAATTCGGTTCGTCGATGTGATTTCTAGTTCGTTTAGAAATTCGTCCATTGTGTTTATGATATTTCTCCTGATGGGTCGTCCATTGTGTTTATGATATTTCTCCTGATGGGTCGTCCAAAAACAGATTTCTTGTCGAACCGCGGCATAACGCGATTGACGAATCGTCGCATCAAATCGACGCATCAATGTATAGTGACTATGGAGCTACAAGACGAATTGACCGCATGATCGCATAGTCAGTATGGGGCTTAATCAAAATAATACCACATTCAATCCAGTTAAATGATAGATAATATCATAATATAAGGAAACTAGTAGCTTTACTCCTTGTCAAATCCTTTGTTTTTTTTCTGCCATTTTATATGACCTTGTTCGCGCGTCCCGTGACTACTGACGTAGCTGAATAGTCGTGGTCTATAACTAGGCAAAGTATAGTCGTGGCACTCGCCATAGTTTCACAGAGATGTATTTAGGAAAATATGAGTTCACAATAAAATATCATCGAGTAAAAATTTGCTTGAAAACAGAATATTTTCACATTTCGTGTAAGTAACAATTCTTCAGTATCTGAAAATCTTCTGATGGGAAGAAATGCGGAAAAAATATATAATAACATATTTTTATATTATTATCTATTTCCAAGATTTTCTACAACTTTTTTTTAATTTAAAACAAGTTTAATTTTAACATTAATGTGTTTGTTTTGTAGTAATATATTGGTTAGGTGATTTTCATTGGAAAACTAATACACTGAACAACAAATTGTACTAAATAATAAAACAACATATTTAAACTTCAATAATCGCTAATAAACATTACTGAAATCTCAAAAGTGAAAAGAAGCACGAATAATGAGAAATAGCATCACTACTTTCTCACATAATAAAAGAATAAGTTTTTAGTTCGGTTTGGTTTGGTTTTGGATTGTTACCGAGTCCCGAAGGTACCGAAAGAACCGGGAATTAATAATTTGGAGCCCCGGTTCATTGATATCTCAAAAGGATCGGGAATTTCCGGTTCTGAGCCCTAGTTACCATATTATCAAGAAATTATGTTTTTAAACTAAAAACTAAAAAAAATTCCAGATATTTTTTCAAAAAAAAAAATTGCGCAGAAAAATCCTCATATTTCTGGGGCCAAAATATACTACCCCTAAAAATATTTGCACTTATTTAAGACTCACCCTGTATAGGGCGATTCACAGTTATGGTACGTTATAGCGTTTACGGAACCGGAGCTGTTTTTCGGAACCGGTAATTTCGGTACCATGCCATGCCTCTAAGGAACCAGGATTTCCAGTTTTTTGCGGTACCATCAAATTTTTGTCAATGATGGTGCAGTTCGTTAAACAGCAGGCAAGGGATGGTTGTCAAAAGTAAAATCGATAAAAAAATTGAGGTATAAATGAAAATAATATCAAATTATTAAGTAGTAATCAGTCATGAGAAAATTAACCTGAACACAAACATGATCACAAATTACTCTCAAAAAAAAGCTCAAATCACAATTTTTTTAATTATTACTACAACCACCATACAACGAAAGGCACTTATTTTTTGTCAATCCGTCTCTGTGCTGGACACAACGCTCGAACCTCGCAGGTCGACGGACGGAACTCAACTGAAACGCTCTGCAATCTGCCGATATTTGACAGATTGTAAAAACTGGCAGAAAATATTTGGGAGAGTGCAACTACTCTTTTCCTTCTACTATGATACTATCATCAATGGTCAAAAAAAATTGAGAATGTTGAAAATTGAAAAATTAACATAATATAACGATGATTTTCCCTAATTCAGTTCAAATTGAATAATCTATGAAAAAAATAAGATTTTGTATTCATATATTACAATATGTCTTATCTTTTAATATGAAAAAAGAAATTATTACTTGGTATAAAAAGCAACTTACTCTGGCATATAAGGCAGCTGCTAAGAGAACAACAGCAACAACAAATCCTCTCATATTATTAAAATAATATGGACTATATTATAGTGCAAAATGTGAGAACAAAACAATTTATGATTGATAATCCAACGTCTAGTATTGTCTTTTATATATAGAATACAATTTGCAATTATCGTTCCACTTCCCCATGTTAATTTGTCAAAAATATAAACCTTGGGATTGCCATTTTTTTCATAAAATAATAGGCTTTGATATTTCATTGCACATCAACACTTCTCTTAATTAATTTAATTTTAAAATTGCTTTATTCTATTATATTTTTTGTTACAGTGACAATATAATAATTAGTTAATTATTTTTTTAATCTTATTTGTAATCTTGTCTATAAATCTCCTAGTATGTGCGATTATAGACGATTTAAGATCTTTTATTAAAAATAGCATGCATTTTTTCAAATTTATCGGAACCTAATTTAAATTAGAGGGTTGAAAATAATACTCAAGTCACTAGATCTGGGTGAAGGATCGAGGGAAATCATGGATTTATTACTTTTCACTGGTAAGTATGTTAACTATAGATATTATAATACGAGTAGTATACCAATCATTTATGAAATTCACTTAGTATTAACTAATTATATATTTTTTAATATCAAACACTCCATATCGTCCCATTGCTGCCAAAAGTCACTAACTTAATTTTTATTACTTCCGAGAAAAATGCGTCTAAAGATGAATTGCATTGCATAAAGATGTTATAGTTAGTAACTATTCGGTATTGAAATAAAACATAAATAGCCAGAAATCTTAGTTAATTACTTTTGCAATCAATTCTCCGCTTCAAAACATAGTTAGTGATTGAATTTGGTTGTTCGGAAAAATGTTAGTTAGTGAATTTTGGCAGCAATAGGACGATATCTAATATTAACCGTTTTTGAGAAAAAAATATTTGAAATATTTTTAGGAAAAAACTGCCTGTCAAAAAAATTGTTTATATAGCCTAAACATCAAATTTAGTGATTACCACAGCCACTGTGGCCTAAAGAAAAAACATGTGGCTATCTATTTCAACAGACAGTTAAATTGTTCGAATGTCAAATAATATTGGCCGTAGCTGTCATGGAATTGAACGATAAAAAAATTATCATAAATCATTTTTTTTTAAATTTAAACTTCATTTTTTTATTCTATTAGTGAAGAGGTTTTTCAATTAGTTACTTTTTGATTATACATGTTCCTATACCTAAAATCAATCAATTATTATTATTTTTCTTATCTCTCGTTTGATATTCTGTCGTATTTAGTCTCAAAAAGTTCCATTGTTTTTTAATAGGAGAGTATAAAATTAATAATAGTGTTAAAAAATGACAAATGTTTAAAAAAATATAAATTAGCATTTAGCTTTCCCAATCATTACATTTCGGCAAAGTCAAATACTGTAGTCACAGATTTACTTCTGTAGTTGAATGTTGCTTGACAAAATGGCGAATTAATTTTGTTTTTACACAGAATAAGTAACAGATTTTATAGTTATATCACATGTTATTAATTTATTAATTATTATAACATAACTAATCTATTTTATGTAATCTAGATATGGTATATATTACTATAAAAATATGTAAAGAAAGATCAGACATGGTTTAAGTGTATACAAATCGAAAATACGTTATTATGCACTATTTCTGTGCTAGTGAGACAATTCGTTTATAACAAAATATCCTTTAGAACAGCCAATAGCGAATCTAGAAATGGAGTCTGGGAAGGTAGTGACAGTAACAACATTTAAGTAAAATAATAGGTTTAAGCTAAATTTTCGCGACTGTGAAAAAAAATTAGCCTGGAACTTCTATTTTAATTGGTATTATTAGTTTATTTTGTGACAAATCTTATTTTACACCTATACCCTTATTAATATTTTTTTTTCCTGGGAGTGGTAATTACTCCCATTACCTATCTTGTAGGTATGCCCCTGATATGATAGCAAAGCCCAAGAAAATATACCCCATATAAGAAATTTGCAGTTCTTAAAAATCTTTGTTCAGTTATTTATATCTCAATTAATGAATTTGATGTACTAAATATTTCTTCATAGGCTACTATTTATTTTATTGTATATAAATTAAAAAAGCATACAATGATTTATATGTTTATGTTTAATACTATGATAAATCTTAATAATGTTTTTGTGAAACTAAAATTAAACAGAAGGCCTCTATGATAAAATATAAATATATATTTTTTAACATCAACATTGTCTTAATAATAACATAATAAAAGTACTACAAACAAATATCACTATGATTCGAATAACATAAAATATGTGAGACAGTAATCCTTTACCTAATAAGAGGTGTAAAAATCTTCTAATTTAGAAAATAACAACGCGTGTAGGAGCGGTTTCGTAATAACATCTATAAGCTGCTGCAGCTGTTTCTTCAGGAGTGGCTTTTTCAATCAAACAAGCTTTCACCAGCTGATCAGCAATATCCGCGCTCAACAGCGAGGCTAGTCTCTCCCTGATAAGTTCCCGCTGGATTTCGCCAGCTTCGTTCTGGAATCCCAATCTTCTGGACATACAGAACGCAAATGATCTAAGATTGGGATCGTCCTGGAATACTCCACGTCTTGCTTGTTCCACTAATGCCAAGTCGGCACCGGTTTCACCAACACAATGAGTGGAATGGGTCAGTATTTCATCTCTTATTTCTCCTTGAGCCTGTAATTAGTATAATGGTCACAGTTTCGTACAAAAATAAGTATGATATAATATAATATTCGACTAGAAAAAGAGCTTAATAGCAAAATGAAACACTAATTAATGACAATACAACAAAACACTTTCTATTTAAACACTGGACGTACGTTTTGCTAACCATGTTAGCATCATCAGCAAATGATTAAAACTCTTTTAAGCCGGGACCCCATTAGCAACACGCCACGCCACGCCACGTCACTCCATGTGTTGCAACTTTGGAAAGGGGTGTATACATTTATAACACGCTTATTTAATTCTCTATTTTTTTTTATTAGAGCTAGAAATGTTATCGGTATTAGAAGATGTTGGATACAAGCAGTTCGTCTAGCGACGAAGAATTTTTAGTAGAGTGTACAGGGTGGGTCAAATTGGACACTTTTAAAGGGAAACACCCTTTTCTATAGGAGATAGACGAAAACTAATGGTGTCTGGAGCTCAATTTTTATTAAAAACATGATGGTGAAAACCGCACATCGATATCTGTTACCGTTTTGGAGTTACAGGGTCTTTTTCAAAAATGTGCATTTTTAACAAATCGCTGTAACTTTCTTGCTATGGAAAATTTTGTATTTTTATGGAAACATTTTCAAATTTTAGTTTAAGTATAATTTTTTTAAAATTAATAATTTAAGAATTATCAACAGAAAATTTGATTTTTTATATGGGACACCCTGTATATGTTCAATTAATCGAAAAGAATTTAAAATTATCTTTCTAAAAATATAGCATACTTGATATTTTGCTCGATTCCTCTTCGAGGTATAGATTCTTTAAATATTCGTCCACTTTGAATAAGTAGGCTTTGAACGGCACCGGCTGTAATGCAAAAGAATTGTAGCTGTGAGCAGCGATTAAAACGAAAATAATATTTGCAATGAGAAATGCTTAATTTTATAAAAATTTAAACTATATTTAACAACATTAACACATTTAAACTATATCTAATAACAATAAAAATTAATAGCAAATCAAGGCATGATATTTTGCTACAGGTGTTCGACATGTCGACCGTCTTCTGTTATCGACAAACGGAGACGTTTTTGAACATTTCTCGCCGAATTCATTAACTCAGTGGGTTTGAAAAATACCCTCCCATAACCACTAAGTACTTCTAATTCTTGTCTAGATTATACGGGTAATATAAAAATAAGAACCTTTATTCTTCCGCAAAGATAAAAATCCATAGGCACTAAAACCGGCGGCCTCGATGGCCAGCGGCTGGGATCTTGGTTAGCTATTCAATTGTTCTCGAATTGATTGCAAAAATTTGCTGATAACTTTAGCTTCTTGAGGCGGTGCCTCGTCTTGCTGGAAAAATATGTTTTTGAGTTCTATTAGGGGCAGATCATCAACGAGGGGTCTAAAGCTTACTAGTTAAAAGTTGTGAACTTTTAAAAATTCTGTATTTTTAAGGGGACTACAACAAAATATCAAGTGTGCTATATGTTTGGAAAGGTAATTTTAAGTTCTTTTCATTTAATTAAAAATATACAGGGTGTCCCGATTAAAAAATCAATTTTTCTGTTGAAAACTCTTAAATTATTAATTTAAAAAAATATATACTTAAACTGTTAAATTCTACGTAAAAAGGTGCTTTGGAAATGTTTTCACAAAACTACAAAATTTTTCATAGCAAAAAATTTACAGCGATTTTTTAAACATGCACATTTTTGAAAAACACCCCGTAACTCATAAACGGTATCAGATATCGATGTGCGGTTTTCACCATCATGTTTCTGATAAAAATTGAGCTCCAGACACCTATATTAGTTTTCGTATCTCCTATAGAAAAGGGTGTTTCCCTTTAAAAGCGTCGAATTTGACCCACCCTGTACAGCTGCGGCTATGGTTTTACAAAGTGCATAAAAGAAGATTTTAGGTGCACAAAATTAATAATTTTGTGCACCTGAATTGTAATAAATATGGTGCCTTTCATACTTTAATTAAATAACTTAATCAACCAAAAAAACATTCACTTTCAAGTGCACCAAATGCGAAAAATTTGAGCGCCAAAAAAATAAAGTAACTGAGAAATTAATTCAACTGTAACTGGGGGAAAAATATGTTACTAAGTTAAATTGTTTTTGCGGTCAGATTTCCCGGATGCTTTTCCAAATCCGGACCAGATTGCTCCGGACACTTCGGGGCGGTCCGGCCAAAACACAAAAATCCGGACATGTTCGGGTAAATCCGGACGTATGGAAACCCTACTTATGAATCGCACATCACATGTTTGATAGCGTGGGATGACGTGGCGTGGGTATACTGAGTACGCAATATATGTAATTAAATGGCAAAATATACGCACAAATCTTCGTGACATGGGGTGGCATGGCGTGGAATGGTGTGGCGTGATGTGATGGTTAGCAAAACGCGTGTCCAGTCCTTAAAAGTAAAGGATTTTGGTGTATTGTGGCAACTTAGTGTTTTATTTTTCTGTTGTGAAACAAAAAGTTCCCACCCCCCAGCTAATAAAGAGTATAATATACAAATATAATTTCATATAAACTGGATACTGATACTCTTAAATTTAGAATATCTATTGATTTATATCAAGTCCTTAAATACACAACATCAAATATTCTGTAGTTGTTTTATATTCAGAATGTGTACTAAAAAATTAAAATTCTAAGTTTTATTTATAATTGTGTTTTGCACTGAAAATCACTTAAAATTATTAACATTACCTGGATTAATGTAAACCCTATAACAAGCAAAAAACTAGCACTGATTAGTTTCATTTTGGAATAATTCTCAATTATATTACAGTTATCAAGATTTGTTTAAATATAACTGCGACATTCCCAAATCAAATATGCTTTTATAGATGATTACAAAAATTGTAAATCATCCTATCCTACCACCAACAAATGTGAAATATATATAATAAAAAATACAATACCTTGACATTGGAACTAAATAGTTAAATATTTATTTCCGTCAATTCTTAGCGTCGAAATGAAAGGATTCTAGGAAAAATATACCTATAGTTTCGCTCGATTGATTCAAAAGTTGAAAATTGTCGTAATAACGCAAAAACAAAAGATATATTACAGACTCAGATAACCGATTGATGATGATGTCGCAAGATTAAAGCCATATAATAGTGTTGTTATATAAAAAAACCTGTATTTATTATAAATTATTACACGCGGTGGAAATGTAAAAATAGCTAAGTAGGTGTTGTTTAGTATAATTTTATCACTAAATTAGGGGCATTTAGAGTAATAACACCTAATAGATACAATACCCAACTAACAATTTATGTTTTAAAAATGTCCTAAGAACGTTTACAGAACTATTTTTATAAAATAACAGTATTGCGATAAACATTTCAACAACGTTTATACAATGCTTATAAACCCAAAAAGGGCGCACTTTTGTGCAGCAATTTAGTTCCTTAATTTGTTATATTATAGTTTCAATAGCTTTCACCGGACAATTACATAAACATTTTTATTATAAACAGTTACAGAGTTAAATATTTTACCAAAATTATGACCATTATACAACAATTATCGAGCTATAATAAAACACTTTTATAATAGTTGTTTTGTTATACCAGCGGTTCCGATTTTGCTTTGACGAACACTATGATAGGAAGCTTTTGTTGTTCCTACAGAACATAATTTATTTTTTAATCATCGTTCTGAGAACAAAAAAGCTAAATATCCTATAATGTATGGTATTTAAATAGCAAAATTTTCAAGCGCCTTAAATATGTTATCTATATTTGAGTTTTAAGAGAAAAAATCAAACATACTATTTCGTGTTTTTCTTTCATTTGGCCTGTTCTGCAATAAAATACCCTAAAGGATCCATTCTACACCACTAGATAAATACTTAGACTAGAGAGTTGTGGCGTTTTATTATCGGAAAATGATTTTTTGTAATGCGTTCAAAAATGGCCGTCTGAAGGTGAAGTGGAAACAACGAAAACAATGGCTTCCATGTTATAAAATACTTTTATCACCTTCGGTGTTCGTATAAAATGTTTTTGATCTTTAAGAGATTTTTATAAAATATTTAAATTATAAGCAATGTTTTAGTTAAACAGGGACGTATTTCCAGAAAAAAATAACCATAATATATTATATACGTGTACATAAAAGAGCTTATGTAATATTCGCACTAACTCTATGCATTTGTAAAATTTCGAGTTGAAGTCTTGGCCTTACTGATACTGATAAGATACAAAATGAAGGAATCTGTTATGACATAGAGCGTGCCGCCACTTTCAAAATAATATTTCACAAATTTTCTTATTGGGCTTTTGCACAACATCATTAAACTTTTTTTTAATGCCTGACATGTGTCAATTTTCGTGTTGCAATATTGGCAGTACTAATAATGATAACGTACTCACAAAATGAAATAAAAATTTTCTATGTTTCTATGGTAATGCTTATTTTTGTTCTAAATGCCAATAAGTCTTTGATGTAATATCAATGTTTGTTTTTCGTAATTAAAAGTTCACAAATTTCGCATAGATTTTTGAAATCGCTAATAATTACACATAAAAATGCGTGTATTTTCTTTACCTTTTAACGTACGAATAAAAAATCGCATAGTTTTCGGTGTGATTTCTTTACAGTAGGTACATAATATACACTGTGTCCGTAAAGTAACGGATAAATTCATTTAAAATTCAATTGTTTTTTTTTGGAAACCCCCTTGGACACGTCGATCTTAATTTTTAGTGGCGCCATTTTAAAACTAATTTACATTTATACAGAGTGGCCCAAGAAAAAATATCAGGTGGTACTTCAATTACTTAAATGGAAAGCCCTGTATATTTTGATGAATATCGATAGAGCTCATTGAGACGAATTCATTGATATAAGGGTTAGGTCTATCTTGAATGGTTGATAAGAAACAAATCTTGATGTTGCTAAGAAAAAAACAAAACGTTGCGTCAGATTGAAAACTAAACATCAACTTTTAGAGCAGAAAAAGTAGCAATGGGAATGTGAAATTTGCATTGTCGCATATCGTTTCAAATAAAATGAGAAAAAAATAAGATTGAAATCGGGAAAATTCGGTGTTTCCCAAATAACTTCGGAATTTAAAAAATTTTTTTTTAGATCATATTGCAGGATTCAGCAAGGCGCAACTTTTCTGTAATTTAATCATCTTTGTAAATCTTCTGGTTTATAAGATCCCTGTAGTGTGCAATGTACACTGTGCATTCTTATATGGGACACCGTGTATGTACGTAATTTACTGCGTCTTAATATCCTGTGTTTTTGTCTATTTTACATATACATAGTGGTCAAGGGTAAAAGAAATTTACCTAACTCCGGCTCTGATATCTCTCAATAGGTTTTTGTTTTCGTTTTCATACGTCCGCGTCCCTCCAGGTGGTGTATAAGCCCAGGAGTAAATAGTCGCTCATATGACGCATATTCAATAAAACACTTATAAAACATTAACAAAACGGTTAGTATGTATTAATTGCTCCGGCTGCAACCGTTATATAAATGTCGTAGATGCGGCAACAACAGAACTAATTTGTGTTTAGTGCAACATATCTGTGTCAAAAACCTAACCTCATTATTATTCTATTTGGGATATTTTAACGGAAAGCCGAGGGGTGTCTCACTAGGGTAAAAAATGTACACGTATTGCCAAAATGTCATTTTATACAAGACTCCCAGTGACTGCCGACGGCTGCCAGTGACTGCCGACGACTGCCAGCGACTGCCGGCGACTGCCAGTGACTGCCGACGACTGCCAGCGACTGCCAACGACTGCCAGCGACTGCCAACGACTGCCGGCTCAGCGGTATCTTAAGTTCCGGGCCTTTGTCGACCCTTGACATATATTATTTATCAACACATGTACAGGGTGGGCCAAATTGGACGCTTTTAAAGGGAAACACCCTTTTCTGTAGGAGATACACGAAGACTAATATCGGTGTCTGGAGCTTAATTTTATCAAAAACATGACGGTGAAAACCGCACATAGATATCTGTTACCGTTTCAAAATTACGGGATGTTTTTCAAAAAAGTGCATTTTTAACAAATCACTGTAACTTTTTTGCTACAGAAAATTGTGTATTTTTATGAAAGCATTTCCAAAGCACCTTTTTATGTAGAATTTAATGATTTAAGAATATTTTTTTTTAAAATTAACAATTTATGAATTATGAATAGAAAATTTTATTTTTTATATGGGACACCCTGTACACTTTTAATTCATTGAAAATAATTTAACTTGATATTTTGCTCGATTCCTCGAGATATACAGTTTGTAAAAATTCGCCCACTTTGTATAAGTAGGCTTTGAACGGCGGAATAATATTTGCAATGAGAGATGCAGAATTTTATAACAATTTAAATTACATTTAACAACATCAACACATTTAAACTCTATTTAATAACAATAAAAATTAATATCAAACCAAGATTTGAGATTTGGTTGTTCGATATGTCAACCGTCTTCTGTTATGGACTGACGGGGCCGTTTTTGAACATTTCTCGCGGAATTAATTAACTCAGTAGGGATGAAAGATACCCTCGCATAAGTAGTTAATAAATTCTTGCCTAGATTATATATATGGGTAATTTAAAAATAAGGACCTTTATTCTTCCGCAAAAATAAAAATCCATAGGAAATAAGTCCGCCGCGCCTAAAGACCTCGATGTCCAACGGATCCTGGTTAGCTATTTGGACATATCCCATATTTAATTATTCTCGAAATTGGCTGCAAAAATTTGCTGATAACTTCACCATTCTGAGGCGGTGCCTTGTCTTGCTGGAAAAATATGTTTTCGTTTTCGATTTTTTCGAATATACAGGTGTCCCAGAAATAAGTATTTTAAGGGGTGGTAAATCTCGATAAAAGAAACATATTTTCTCTTTTTCGTTCTTCAAATAACTCCAAAATAACGGAGTTATTTTACTTTGAAAATTTTGAAAAAATATGATTTTTTGCTAAAATTTTGAGAATCGCTGTATCTTTTCTGGATTTTTTTTTCTTGTAAATTTAATCTAATACCTATGTTGCCATATTATCAAGAAATTATGTTTTTTAATTAAAAACTAAAAAAATCCAAAAAATTTTTCAAAAAATTTCGAATTTTGAAAAAAAAATTTACGTGAAAAAAACCTCGGCGTGTTTCTGGGGTTGAACTATACTACCAGTTGAATTACTTGCACTTATTTCTGGGACACCCTGTATATCCAGGGTGTTTCAAAAAGCATGTGCCATCTTTCGTGGGCAGATTCCTCACGTAAAAATAAGATTTATTTTTCATATCAACATAGGTCCGATTCTGCTTTTCTTTGTAGCTACAGGGTGTTAAAGTCTTAATATTTTTTCGATTTATTGTAATTTTCTTCCAAGTGCTTTTAGCGATTCGAATGAAATTTTGAGGGTAAAAGTTATTATTGCGATATATTTTAACGCTAAAAAAGTGTCAACATATTCACCAGGGACATGCATATGGGTTTTCTCTGGAATATTTTTCTAAAAAAAGCATGTACGCCGCTGCCTTTTTTTTCTCTCGTTAGCGCAATAGTGTAAGCCGTTTAATGCCGATTAAAAGTTGTCTCTTCATATTTTGTCCATCTCGCTTTTCATTTGATTCAAGTCTAATAGCAACCTTTATAAAAATTTAATATCATTAACTTGCAAAAGTTTTAAAAAGTACTTTTTGATTCCTCGTCAAAAAATATGAAAAAAGTTATTATATTATATTGCTATGGAAATGCATAGTTTCATAATTACAGGGTGTTAAAACTTTTTAAAATTATTTTTTTTTGTAATAATTATCTTAAATATCATTA